CTAGCCTTTCCGCAATAAACTATCGAATCACACACCTTAAATTACGGTCCTGTTACCCAGCCTTATTCAAATTGCAAAGAAACACATTAAAAACTTCCAGAAAAACCCTAGACTAGTACTAAGTACATGTATTAAACCACTAGTTTTAGGGGCCAAAAAAAGGACCCCATCATGCCATATTGCCCTTACCACATGAACCATGTTACCCACCCGTTTTTTTGTTCGAATCCCTGCTTTTCTTCCCCTATCTCCCTATTGAGGGTTAAGGCACAGAGAGAGAGAGATTCTCTCGAGATACGTCGGGAGATGCGGGACGTCGGAGGTCTGCGGGAAGGAAGGGAACAGGGGTTATGCTTGAGTTTGTCATGGCCGGGTTAGGTACTATAGTAGGTAGGTAGGTGGGAATAAAGTTTCGGGTTACGGACGTAAGGGAGCAGCTGTGTGTGTAGGGTGCCTGGGGGTTTAGCTTAGCGGAGCCTTTTTCCGCTTGCTTGGATGGTCGTTGTTGTTGTTGTTGTTGCTGTTGTTGTTGGGGGGAGGGGAGATGAGAGAACGTCATGGCTGGTATAGGCTAAGCCAATGAAATCGACCGCTCTGTGACTCTTATTTGTGCTCAAATGGGGGAATGCATGCTTGGCGGTTGTTCCGAGAGGGAGACGAGTTGGTTCATCTCGCATTTCAATGTCTTGTCCATGTTGTGTAACATAGGTGGCCGCACGTGGTGTCACGAGTGACATTCTCTCCCTTCTCGCCTTTCTTTTTTCCCGAGCATGTTGTGTGTGAGAGACGTGCATAATCTAGTTCATTCTCAAGTACCAATTGTCGTGTGTTTCCGCGGCGAGAAATTGAGGCTTGAGATACGTGTCTGTTGTGGCGTGGACGGAGATGCTCGGTAGACGAAAGTGTGGAGGCTAGAGTCGATAGCCTGGTTTCGATGGGTGGCGAACTAAGTTGTATGGGCAAAATAGGCCAAGGGAACAAGGGCACGAGGTAGTTTGAGAAGTTGGGCAAGTGTTCAAACTGGATAAGATAGCAAGATCAATTATACACATGTTATTAGAGAAGAAGAGAGACTCCAAATATCTACGTATAACCTAGGAATTCTAAAATAAAAAAGACAATCCGAAAAGAGAAGTTTTCTTCTTTTCTGCTTCCAATCTATCATATGCAGAATCCCAAAGAAATCCCTATGTATAATAACATACATGTCCTAAGAAGAAAATGTGGGTAATGGGGTATAGCTTTCTCCAGCAGAGACATAAACCAACCTTTGAATAACGCCCAAACCTCCCAGTCTGAATACCCTCATATCCCATACATTACCCATACCCTATCACGTCGCTGCTGCGGGAACGACGACAAGTTTCTTCTTGACAGCCCTCATATCCCCAATTGTGCCCTCTTTCCCCTGTCCCCTACCCACCTCCACCACAATCATCCTGACAAAGTCCTTGCTGAGCCAATAACTACTATGCGCACCGAGCATAGTGAGGTACTGAATCTCCAAGGGTCCACCACCATATTTCATGTAATAGTCGATCTGGCCGTTATCATTGAGGAGGTACATTCTCTTTTCTGCAATCTCCTCTCGCGTAAAGTTGTGCGTTTCGAGCTCGACGTTGCTGGGTAGACGGGCGGTAATGGGCTTGTTTGCAGCGGCAGAGGCAGATTGCGACGAGGTTGAGGAGCGGAAGGGATTGAGGGAGGAAAAGTACGAGGTCGAGGCGGAGGGGATAGTGGCTTGTTTGAGCATCGAGGCGTAGACGATGTCCACGGTTGGGTTGATGCGGCAGGCGACAGGATCGTAGGGGTTGATAATGTTGTAGATGTTATCTACTGCGAGACATCCGTATGTGCCTTGCTCGCCGGCTACGCCTGGTGTGGCGTACGAGTCTGCGCCGGGTTTCTCCTTGTCACGGCGTGGAAGAAGGTTTGCATTCTTCATGAGAAGAAAGAGACCGACTGGGCTACCGCAGACGAAGAGGTCAGTTGTGTTGAAGATAAATTGGTCTTGAGGTAGGTCGGCTTCAGGGAAGGATGGCTCTGTGAATTGAGGATCTACATAGGTTGGTTGCTGACTTAGAATATCAATGGCCATTACGGAGCCAAGGGAGTGAGCGATTAGGTGGACTCGGCCATACTCAGCGAACCCAGGATTGTTTTGACACCACAGACGATAGATGCGGTTTGCTTCTTGTATGCAGGCCGATACCATCTTGGGGTTGTGCAACGGCGAAAGATAGTATGGAATGTCGAGCATCACATCGCTTACGATACCACGGACTGACGGTAGAGTATCCGGAGTAATGTCTTTCAATGTATATTTGTTGGCAGAAGGGTCGTCTGGCTCTTCCACTTCAGTGTTGTCGACATCCAAGGAGACGCGATGCCGCCAGTTGACCTATATCTGTTAGCATATTGTAGGTCAATTGCCCCTCACAATGGCTCACTGGCAAACACATGACGCCTCCCATATCCTTCCGTAGATGACGCTTAACATCCGGCGTCCCAAGCTCAACATTCATTTCACGTCGAAAAGAGTTCATCGCATGCGTAAAGTGAAAGGTTTCCATCCTCTCTGACAGTTTCTGTCCGATACCGTGTATTACAAGCACGAGATCGGTTACCTTGGGTCTTTCGGCCTGCGCAAGGGCAGGATCTGACTTTTGTCTCTGGCGTGGCGGTGCGCCAGCTTGCGCCGTCGAGACACCTTGACGTGCTGCCCGTGCCTTTGGCGAATTCTTGCTTGGATACAGTTTGTCCCAGATGGCCTGGTCGAACCCACGTACGACATGAACACCAATTTGTCTTCCCTTACGAATATAGTTCGCCAGTGGTCTTCTGCCATAATAATCGGACGGCTGGAGTGCAGGTTTGAGGATGAAGGCTTCCTTTTCGTTTGAATATATCACACCCGCTTTCAAGTAGAGGCGTTTCCGCCCGTCGGCACCGTACTCGAGGTCTCCAGCCGCTTTGTGATCAGGGCCATCAGGGCCAGTAGATATGTCAATCAAGTCACATGCATTCTCGACAATTTCCCGTCGCTCTTTCTCAGGATCATCATCCTCTTCAGGCAGTGTGTTCTGGACCAGACTTGTGGATTGCAATACTTGGGCTGAAGTCGACGGCCTACTCTCTGATTTCCTGGGCTTTTCAGGCCAGAGGTGGTGCAAGATCTTCATTTCACCAAAGGCACCAACTTCGACTGCACTATTGAGCTCGTCCATCCAGGTTTGTGTCCAGGGCTTCATTTCAAGGTATCCAACTTCAAGCATATTGGCAACTTCAACCTCGACGGGCATCATACTGTCCTTGTAGAACCACGTTCCTCGAACTATCTGGGCAACATCACTGAGCGGCGACCAGTATATGGGCTCCATTCGTATCGAGTCTGCATCCATAACTACGTGATGCAACCTTGAGACCCCAACAGGGACTTTCGCAGATGGGCCCGGCTTTGGCTTGGAAGGTTTCGCGGGCCCCTTATCCTTGGCCGACGACAGGGCGGGTTCCATGTCATCATCCCATTTGTAGCTGTCTACTTCATGTATTGTCGGACGATGGCTTCCTTCTGGGGGCGTAGGCTTCCATGATTTGGTCAGGTTGCCTCTTGAAGGTGCTCGGATAAAAGGTGTACCGGTCGTCGTGGGCTCGAGAGGCGATATGGATCCATGATCGTATGCGTATGGCTTGAATGAGCCTGACGTGGAGTGACCATGACTGCCACCGCTGGAGCTCGGTCGCTTCCTATCCAGCATCTCTGCAGACCTTGAGTACTCTCCTCTACTGACCATGTCGCGGCCTGGTATGTCTCTTCCTTGAGTGGAGCTTTCGACGCTGGAAGCGCTGCCTCCTCTCTTCCTCTTCAACCGCTCTACCGCTGGGTTCGTTGGCGTGCCTCTCCCCGTCCCGTCCTTCTCACCAAACTCCTCATTGTGCTCGAGAATCTTCTTTCGGAGCGCGTGCCATGATTCTTGGATAGCTTCATTGTCGTATTCGGAGAAAGGTCGTGGAGGTACCCTTTTGGCAGTCGAGGCGCCCGTTGGTGGTGGCGGTATGGGCGACAGAGGGTCATCTATAGCGAGCGGTGATGTGTAGAAGTAGCGAACGGGTATGGCTGGGGGAGTCTCGGTGTTATGCAGAACTTCGCGCACATATTGGTTGGCGCGCGACGACAGGGTGGAATCGTCTGCGGCCATGGTGGATGATGGCATGGCTGGATTGTCGGGTGCTGCTGCAACTCTTAACAGAAGCAGCCGTATTAGAGTTTCATGATATCATGATGGCCAAGGGGAGATTATTTGCGTTTCTCACGTGCACATGAGCAGAGATGACGAGATGACAGCTGGCTACAAGGAAGTGGAAGCCTTGGTAGGATGGTTGTTGTAGCGCAGTACAATTCCGATCATCATTCGGAGCACTGACGCAACCGCTCGTCGCCATAACAAAACGCGTGCCCCGGCATGTGAACAGTCGTTCAGCCGCCAGCCTCCACTCCACCCATGCACCACATCATTCATCCTTCCAGATCCACAATGGCATGTCGCTGTCCCCCCCATTCGCATATGCTTCCCTGCTGATGGCAGGAGAACCCCATCTGACCAGATCGGCTGTCGAGCATGGCCATGGCCTCTAGCAGTTCACATAGCGCCTGAACCGTGACATCTCCTGATGCAAAATGCCTCGAGCCATACACCCATGTGGACAGGCGGGTGCAGTAGGCTACGCAGACTACCAGGCTACCAGGCGCGACTTTCACAGAGCGACAGTCCGCTACCCCACCTAACTATGAGCAAAGAAACAGCAGCCTAGTTACCCAAGACTTCAACGCCTCACCAGTTCGAACATCACGTACAACAAAGCCGACGCGCCGACATCCGCCTTTCATGCAAGTCACAGCCATGTTAACATTCTTTACTTTCATTTGTTTGCTCCTGGTAACCTAGCTATATATGTACATACAGTCTCCAGTTTTTTTAAACGCATTAAGAGAAACCCGCTTAACCGAAAAGCATGTCACCAAGACGAATCGACACCGTCTTGGTCTGGATGTAGTTTTCGAGCGCCGACTCACCCAACTCGCGGCCAATACCAGACTCCTTGTAACCACCGAATGGCAGCTGCCAGTGAAGAGTGTTGTATGTGTTGACCCACACTGTTCCGGCCTTGAGCGCATTGGCAACCTCGATGGCAGTCTTCAGGTTGCTGGTGTGGAGGGCGGCAGCGAGACCGTATGTGGTGGAGTTGCCAATCTTGATGACCTCTTCCTTGGTCTTGAACTTGGAAATTGTGCATACTGGGCCGAAAATCTCTTCCTTTTGGATCTTCATGTCCTCGGTGACGTTGGAGAAGATGGTGGGCTCAATGAAGTAGCCCTTGTCACCCTTTCGCTTGCCACCAGTCTCGACAGTGGCACCGGACTTCTTACCATCCTCAATGTAGCTAAATCACCGAGTCAGTACAGAAACTTTTACAGGAATTTCCAGCAAGCCTTACCTCATGATGCGGTCAAACTGAAGCTTTGAGACTTGAGGGCCCTGGAAAGTGTCCTTGGCGAATGGGTCACCAACAGCATTTTGGGAAGCGCGCTCCCTGAATCGCTCAATGAACTTGTCGTAGATGGTCTCCTCGACATAGACACGCGAACCAGCGCAGCAGGTCTGGCCGTGGTTGAAGTAGATACCAAAGTTGACCCAGTTAAGGGCCTCGTCCAAATCGGCATCAGCGAAGACGATGTTGGGGCTCTTTCCTCCAAGCTCGAGAGTAACCTTCTTCAAGTTGGAACCAGCAGCAGCCTTCATGATTTGACGGCCGACAACAGTGGAACCAGTAAAGGCAACCTTATCAACGTCCATGTGCGCGGAAATGGCAGCTCCGGCAACCTTGCCGAAACCTGTGATGACGTTGATGACGCCTGGTGGGAAACCAGCCTCCTTGATGAGCTTGCAAGCAACGTACGCGGACAGGGGAGTCTGCTCGGCTGTCTTCAAGACAACCGTGTTACCGGCAGCAATAGCAGGGCCAATCTTCCAGGACCACATGAGAATAGGGAAGTTCCAGGGAATGATCTGACCGCAGACACCAATCTGGAGAGTTTAGCTGCATGCTCGGAAACTTATGTAGAAGCATACTCACAGGCTCCTTGCGGATGTAGTTGAAGGTGTCGGGTGTGGTGTCGACAACCTTGCCTTCGATCTTGTCGGCCCATCCTCCGTAGTATCGCAGGCATCCAGCTGCAGCGGGAAGATCGACGTTCCTGGCCATGCCGAAGGCCTTGCCGTTATCAAGCGCCTCAACGGCAGCGAGAAGGTCGGCGTTCTTCTCAAAGAGGTCGGCAAGCTTGACTAGAAGCTTTCCGCGGTTCTCAGGTGTCTCCTTCCTCCATGGGCCGTTGAAAGCCTTACGTGCGGCAGCAACAGCAATGTCAACATCCTTCTCAGTGGCCTCTGCAACACTGCAGATGACCTCCTCGGTGGATGGGTTAATGACCTCGAAAGTCTTGCCGTCGACGCCCTTCACGAACTCGTTGTTGATGAAGCTGCATCATCTGTCAGTACTGACACGCGCCTAGAGAGATGGCCGAGGTGTCACAAAGCTCCCGAAGAAGCTTGGGGCTTGCAGGCATGACTTACAGGCCGGTGGGCTGCTCGTACTCGCCCGTCTGGGGAGTCGATAGCTTTACTGAGGTCTCAGACATGGCTGTAAAAACGGACTGGGGTATCTGAAAGGAAAATGGGGGTGCGAGACTTGACGATTGAAAGAGGGGCAAAGGGGGCAATGAGAAATCTTAAGTATTCGAATCGGCAGGGCATGACGGCACTAGACTGCATCTCCACAGAAGACAAGCATTGTTACATGATTGCTAGGCCAGACAGTCTCGGTCATCGGGAGCCCACCAAGGGAAAGCTCTGCAACCTATCGTGTGCGCCAGGGATGCATGGGTGGATGATGTTTTACTCAGCGGCGGGGGTCTATGCCCCGCTCCGGTGGCCAGTGAAAGCTACCCCTCCCCCGCAGTTGTGTCGTCCAAGCCGCAGCCAACCTCGCTACAACGCGGTACTCACCCCTCCAAGCCGCAGCCAACCTCGCTACAACGCGGTACTCACCCCTCCAAGCCGCAGCTAACCTCGCTGCAATGCGGTACTCACCCCTCCAAGCCGCAGCTAACCTCGCTGCAATGCGGTACTCACCCCTCCAAGCCGGAATACTAGACACAGGTTAGTAGCCGGCCCGTATGCATCTGCGCAGAAAGAAGCCGAGATGCATCCACCCCGATGACGGCATCCTTTTGCTTGAGCCAGCCTTATCAATCTTGTGTACGCATTCATGTTGTGCACCAGTACCCATCCAACACCCGCTCTCCACACGACCCCCTCTGCTAGCACTGAAACAGTAATCCTATCGTCCATCCCAGCAAGCTCGCCCTTTTCTGGCGCGAACACCGAGCCACGTTGACTATTGTCTCCAGCACGGCCTACACGTGTCGGGACATTTCCAAATCTTGCCAAGGCCAGATGTGAAAATAATTGTAATCACCTCACCCGTCCGAATCAGCTGCATCGGACGAGCGCTCCTTTTGCCCAGTAACCTACCTTGTCAGAAGCCAGGGTAGCCGCGGATCTCCACATGGCCTAGGAAATGGCGGGGAAGACTCGAAAAGGCTTGGTTCCACGGAAGACCGCAAACCCTTTCGCACGAAAGGGTGCGCCGTCCCAGATAGACGTATTTCAACTCCGGGAGCTGCAGCTGACTAAGTACGGCTGCCAATGATGTCGTCCTATGGTGGTGTGATGCCCAATGCAAGAAGGTTGCCACATTCGGTCTTTCACGAGAGAAAGTTGTCCAAACACGGTCATGTCACGGCTATCTCCAGAGCCTTTGTTTGCCGTCACGCCTTGGTCCGACCCGGCTTTGGCCGACATGGCCGATGATCCACATCTGCTTTCTTTGAGAAATGCGAAACCCGACAACACGACCGCCTTGCACACTTGATGCATATCTTGTGGATATCCTGTGGATATCCTGTGGGTCTCTCCATGCAGTGCCTTGATAGTATTGCCACCTTGCACATATTAACCACGTGGATGACAGGCCAACCCCAACCCAGATATGACCATGCAGTAGAAACATCACGAGAAGAGGCATCAGAAACCAGGGAATCCTTTGGATGTGTGTGTACAAGCATGACCATTCTTCATTGTCGCTACCCAGGCTCATAATAGTACAATTTGAGAGCCGAAAACGAAATGTCCATGAGCAGTGTGCAAAAGTCGAATTGAATATACCGCTGAACTCGAACTGACAGCGAACCGACTAATCGTGGTATGATATTTTCCAAATGATGACGCTCCCAAGAAAAGAAAATGTAAAGCCAGACAGACTACCGGAAAAGCCGACCAAGTTTCAACCGATGTTCAATTAAATCATAACAGAGTAATGGGGGTGTTGGGAGAAATGCCGATACAAATGGCGTTTAGAGCATCTCATCGTCCATGGCAGTGTCACCGCCGGCGGTAACCTGGGCGACCTCAGCGCCACTGGCAGCGTTGCTGGTCTCACCTCCAGGGAAGTAGTCGGCCATCTCAGCATCCAGTTCCTCGACAGTCTTCTTCTTTGGGCGTGCGTCACGACCGCCACGACCCTTTCCGCGTCCACGGGTCTGTCCACGTCCACGAGTGGCACCGGCGGCAGCCTTTTCCGTAGTGGCGGGCTTGGGCTTATCCTTCTTTGGTTGGCTGCAAGTGGGTTAGCCGGAATTCTTTTCTGAGCAAAACGAGTATACATACGTAACGCGATCGGCGAGGGAAGCTGGGCGTGCAGCAGCCGGGATTGCGCTAGGGCTGACAAGCATCTCAACGCGAACAGGGCGTCCATCAATCTTGACCCCGTCCAGAGCAGCAGTAGCCTTGGCAGCCTGCTCATGCTTGTTGAAAATGATGGTTGCACTGCCAACGCTACGGCCAGCAGCATCATACTGGAGGAGAACCTTCTTTGGTCGGCCTACGTTGATTGCTGAAGCAAAGTAATCCTACAAGGCGTATTAGTGGTCGTGCTAGGGTCTGAGTTGGCAAAAAGTGAAGCAATATCGGCTACGAGTGCGGCGTCAGCGGTGGGTAATCGTCGATCTCATATAACACGGTTGGGAGCGCCGCTCAGAAAGTGGGTTTCGTGATCCTGTGCCTGAACGCAAGGTTCGGCAAGACAAAGCTAACTCAGCGCGAGAGCGTTCACTGCGAGTAACGTGTTACAACGTTGCGAGGTAGTCTGCTGATGCCTGCCCGCGCCCCTCTGGTAATTTCAAGGCCATCTGTGACAGTACTCGATAATCTCATCTCGCTGCTCTAACGACCTGCTAGAGTTTGCTGCATAGCGCCCAGGAAAATGTCCGTGGGGTATAGCTGTCTGTGCTGCCACTCAAAAAAGTGTAGCTTGGGAAAACGGATCACCCACTTCCGTCGTTGCGGTGGCTCAAAATGCTCGCATGCTGCTAATCGCATCCTAGTCTTGTGTGCCCAACACAGATCATGGTTTGATTTTTTGCAAGTCATGGCTCAACATCCATACCGGAAGGCGGCGGAAACGTGCTCGATTCGTCGTATCGCACTCGGTGGTGTTCGCTGACGCGAGAAGAGTAGGCTCAAAGACCTGCATCGGTCTTACATACCTGGAGTTGGACTTGGTCAATGTCCCTTGGCTGGTGCGAGTTAGCAAAGCTCCAGTGTGGTGAACAGGTGGGAAGCGTACCAAGTTGGATACCATGATCTTGGTCTCGCCGGCCAGGATGGCGGCGGGTGCGGCGGGCGCAGCCTTGGCGGGCTTGCCTTGCTTGGTAGACTTTGCAACACCGCCAACAGGAGCTGGAGCGGCGGCTGGGCGTCCGGCGCCAGAGCGGCGACTGCTGCGGCCACGGCGAGAGGTCTTGGAGGCCTTGAGGATGTCGTCGAGGCTCTGCTCCATCTTGTTTGAAGACATGGTGATGAGTGGTTGAGGAGTGGTAATACTTGGGTTGAGCGGGCGTTGGTGCAAAGGCGCGCTGGTGTCGGGCAGACGATGTGAGGGCTAACAAGTAGCGGGGGCAGTGGTCTCTGTGATGGAGGCGCGACTGGAACAGTAACAAGACTGGGAGAACAAAGGAACGCGCTGTTTGGGGACAGGCGCGTCGTGGATGGTCAACTCGCGAGTCGAAGAATCAAAGCGGGCTTGCGCAAAAGGAGAGAGTGCGGCGCTGAAACCTGGGCTTATAGGAGATGAAGCGCAGATGCTGTCAGTGTTTTGTAAGGTGGGCAGTGTGGTGGTGAGATGAGGAAAGGAGAGAGAGCGTGAGGCAGCAAGACAATCAAGAGGACAGGTGCCAAGAATGGCTGAGCCATGCAGCCCTGGGAAAGCCGTGATTGGCCAACACGCACGGTTGACGGGTGGGCCGCTCTTCCCCAGCTAGGGCCGTGAGTGACGATAGCTCTTGCTATTCAGGCTGCGGCGAGAATGGAGCGATAGCAGTATGGCAGTCACTCCGGTCAGTGTAGAACCATTCACTCCTCATGTCCCCTCATGTCAGTGCTAACGAGCGAGAAGTGGCAGTTCCGGTTCTTCGACGTCTCGCAAGTCAAGCTCCCCGATGACGAGGGCGCTTTCCTGTCCGAGGTACGATGCCAACCTCCTCCACGCGTACACGATCTTATGAATACTCGTAGATTGGAGACATCACATGCATAGTATCTGGGTCCGAGAGCATCTTCTTCGGTGGTGCAGATGGCGTCGTTCGCATCGTGTCCGAGGCCTTCAAGGTCGTGCGCACCTTCAAGGCCCATGACACCGGCTCAATCACCCACATGAAGCAGATCGAGGGCACATCTCTCCTAGTAACCATAGCCGAAGATCTTTCTGATGAGCCAGTTTTGAAAGTTTGGGCTCTGGACAAGCTCGAGAAGAAGACGGGCATTCCACGATGCCAAAGCACCCTCACCATACACAATGGGCGCAAGCAGTTTCCCATATCCGCATTCGCAGCGCTCGATGATCTATCTCAATTGGCAGTTGGATTTGCAAATGGCGCTGTCACTGTCGTGCGCGGCGACCTCATCCACGACCGCGGCGCGCGACAACGGACCGTGTTCGAATCTGAAGAGCCCATTACTGGAATAGAGTTTAGAGAAGGCAATATCACAACCTTGTACATTGCGACGACTGGTCGTATCATGACGCTCATAATATCCGGAAGGGGTCAGGGACAGCCTGCAAAATCTCTCGACGAGTATGGTTGTGGTGTGGGTTGTATGGCGGTGGACAAATCGTCTCGAGATGTGGTAGTCGCACGCAATGATGCTATTTACTACTATGGCCAGCACGGACGTGGACCGCCGTACACATACGAAGGCGAGAAAAAGATGATTTCTGTGTTCAAGGACTATATCGCTATCATTGCACCTCCAAAGACGAATGCGATGCCCCGATCCAACCCTCTCCGAGCCTTTGGCGTTGGCGCTACCGATGATGTCTTCAACACGTCGAGCTTCACGCTTCTCAATACAGAGTTGAGGTTCATCGCCCACCAGGAACAGCTGACCTCCCAAGTAAAGGCCGTTGTCGCGGAGTGGGGAGACCTTTTTGTATTCACAATCGATGGAAAGGTACATTATCTGCAGAGTATCGGTGTTCAGAGCTAATAATATCCAGATCTTCAGATATCATGAGAAACCCTTTGCTCAGAAACTTGACATACTCTATCAACGCAACTTGTATGTTCTGGCCATCAACCTTGCTCAGAAAGCAGGACTGGACTCTTCCCAGCAGAACATCATCCTTCGCAAGTTTGGCGATTACTTGTATTCGAAGCAAGATTATGACACTGCTATGCAGCAGTACCTCAAGGCCATTGATAATACTGAGCCATCTCAGGTCATCCGAAAGGTACACACAAGCCAGTCGTTCACCTACTTCAAAGCTAATCGTCAAACCAGTTTCTTGACACGCAGAGAATACACAACCTGATAGAGTATTTGGAAGAGCTCCACGACCATCACAAGGCTACATCCGACCATACTACTCTACTCTTGAATTGCTATGCCAAGCTTAAGGATGTAGAGAAGCTTGAAAACTTCATCAAGTCACCCGACGATCTCAAGTTTGATCTCGATACGGCCATCTCGATGTGTCGACAGGGAGGTTATTACGATCAGGCAGCTTTCCTCGCCCGGAAGCATGGGGAGCACGAACTCGTTGTCGATGTTCTGATCGAAGATTCGAAGCGTTATGCGGAGGCTCTAGCTTACATATGGCGACTGGAACCCGAAGTGACGTACTTTAATCTCATGAAGTATGCTACAGTACTCTTGCAGCACTTACCCAAGGATACCACACAGCTGTTCATTGATTACTACACTGGAAAATTCCGGCCTAAGCAGGATGCCATCGTCATACCTAATGCGCCTTCGTCTGGGGGAGGCATGAGTATGGGTCTAGGCGTTGCATCCAGCGCTGTGCAGAACCTTGCTGCACTACTCCCACTGCCTTATATGAATACCAATGCGCTGGCATCACCGCCTAATGGCGAACAAAAGGGCACAATGAGCCAAGCTCAAATAGTCGAAACGACGACCGACGAGCCCGCGCCTGAATACAAAGTCCCGAAACCACGGACTGCATTCTCAGCGTTTGTCGACCACCCTCAGGAATTCATAGTGTTCCTCGAAGCATGCATTGCCTCGGAAGATCTTCGTGAAGACGACAAGGTCGATCTTTATACGACCTTGTTTGAGATGTATCTACATACGGCATCGTCGAAGAAAGACGGCGAGCGACAGGAATGGGAGAGCAAGGCCAAGAAGCTCGTCGAAGGCAAGAATATACCCATAGACACATCAAATGTGTTACTGCTTTCCCACCTCTCCAGCTTCCGCGACGGTGCGATCCTCGTTCGCGAGCAGCAAGGCCTCTACTTTGACATTTTCCGCTCCTACACCGCCGCCAACGACACCCAAGGCGCCATTCGCGCCCTACGAAAGTACGGCCCAGAAGAACCAGCACTCTACCCAGCCGCACTGGCCTATTTCACCTCCTCACCCGCCATCCTCGCCGAAGCAGGCGACGAACTCGACTCAGTCCTGAAAAAGATTGACGAAGACGGCCTCATGGCGCCCCTCCAAGTCATCCAGACTCTCTCCACCAACGGCGTCGCAACAATGGGCATGATAAAAACCTACCTTAGCACAACCATCGAGCGCGAGCGCGCAGAAATCGCCGCAAACAGACGCAACATCGAGACCTTCCGTTCTGACACGTCCGCCAAGAAAGCAGAACTAGAAGCCCTCAACACCAAACCTGCTGTCTTCCAGAACTCGCGCTGCCAAGTCTGCATGAAGAGCTTGGAGTTGCCTGTTGTCCACTTCTTGTGCAAACATAGCTACCACCAGAGTTGTCTGAGTACAGATGAGGATGTGCATGACGCAGAGGTTGAATGTCCGATTTGCAGCTCGAATAATGCTACTATCAAGGCAATTCGGCGTGCGCAGGTCGAGAGTGCGGAACGGCATGATTTGTTTCAGGACGCGCTCAAGAGGGGCAGGGATGGGTTTGCGGTTATCAGTGAGTGGTTTGGTAGAGGTGTCATGGGGGTGGGGAGTTCAGAGTAAAGAATGCTTTGGGGTATCCATTGTGTACATGGTAATGATGAGCGAGGCTCGAGATATGCAGGTTTATACAAATGAAAAGAGTCGATTGTCAACATGTCTATAACTTCCAAACATTTGCCATACGATGCTTGAATCCGAAGCCCAGGCCAATCGAATCCTACCCTTGCTCAACGCCAGTGATGCAATACACACTTCCATTCCCCCACCACACACACATCTATATACATTACTTCACATAAACATCTGGAAACAACACATGCAGAATCTCGTCTAGTAGCGTAAAAACAAGATGGGTGCTACAAGCATCATTAGTAAACTCCTTATTCAAAACCACCCCACATTTTTAAAAAAAAAAAACAAAAAAGAGAGGGAAAAGGGGAAAAAAGAACTTACTTCAACCTCCCATTATTAACTGTCCCCTCCAACTTCTTCGCCGCCAACTGGGCATTCTGTCTCCCAACGACACTACTCGCCAACTCGGGTATAAGCGTACTTAGTACATCGCTCGCAGCCTTCCTACTCCGCTCCTTGTCCTGCGTCGTCCGCTCAACACCAGCCTTCATGCGGCCATCGGGCCACATGCTATCTTTGAGTGCATCAATGTACTGCGCTATGTTCATTTCGGAAAGGAGGTTACCAAAGGACTCGCGGACTTTGCGTTCGATGGTGCCGCCGAGGAGCTGATGCAGGACGACGACGACGGCGCGGCCGCGGAGCCAGTTGTTTTCGCGGTTGAGCTCAAAGGTTTCGAGGAAGAGGTCGCAGATTGGTTTGACAAAGGGCTCGAGTTCTTTGTTTTCGAAGGCGAGGAGTTCGGCTTCGGCTTCGGCGTCGGGATTGGGCTCGCCTGCTACGAGGACGCCGGAGGAGGCGAGGCTGGCAGGTTGGGCGGTCGCGCCGTTTGTGTGGGCGAGCTGTGTGGTGGCGGCGGAGATGAGGTTTTGGCCTGCTACGGAGAGTTGGTCGAGAACGGGGATGTTACCGAGGAATTCTTCCATGCCGTCTGCAACTGAGTTGTAGATGCGGGTCACGAAATCATTCGAGTTTGGGTCTTGATTCTTGAACGCGTCGGCAGGACTAATCGCAGCTTGGGAGAGGAATGCTCGAAATTCACGGCTGCGGCACACGGCTGGGATAAGCAGGAGCTCTCGTAGGTATTTTTCCAGACCGACCCGCCGTTTGTGCAAAGAGTCCTTTTGAAGCTTGAGTATCATCTGGCGGCGTGGAAACTCTAGGTTCCGAACTTGAGGGAACTTTGCACGAAGCCTTTTGTTCAGTTCGTGGAACTCGCTGTACCGGCGCGAGACGACCCAAGTCGCTGCAGGCATTTGGTCACCTGCGCGTCGTCGGACTTCAATAACGTACATGGCATAGTCCTTGCCGTCCTCTTCTGTGCCCACCATGATTGACTGTATGAACACATTTGCACGCCCGTACAAACTGTTGTCGCTCTCCTGTACAATGTACTGCTGCCTTTGGAGTTCTTTTCGCTGAATCTCTCGCTGTAAGCTAGCTTTGGACTTGCGCAAGATTCTAAGCTCAGCGGCATTATTGGTCAGCTCGGCTTTTGAAGTCAGCGAATCTACAATAGACTCTTGTGTCACCAAACGCTCGATATCGGCTGTAAGAGCATCGATCGCCTCCGCTAAGCCCAGATCTCCCGGTGCAGCTTCGTGTATCTCCTCGTCATCCGTCTTTTCGCTTGATATTGGATCATCGACTTCGTCTTCTAAGAATTTCTGCTCGTCGCCAAATAGATCGTCGTCAAATACGCCACGAGTCCTGGGCTCTCCAACTAGACCGAGTGATGCTATGCTCGGCTTCATGCTCTCCTTTCCTTGTGGATTAGGTGACAATGCCCAAGGTAGATCAAGAGAGCCGCGCATTGAGTCATTATCCACGGGTGATTTCAAACCTGGTTCATAGAAAATGGAACCCTCTGGCTCATCCAAGATGTCAGTCAGAGCAGCCTGCATGGCATCCACCACCCTTACATCATTTCCACCAGTTCGATCATAGCCAAAGTCGGAATTCAAGCTCGTGGTGGAGTGTGCAAGGGGATCGGAGTCATAGTCATCGCCAAAGAGAGGTGCACGCTTGGACGTAGATGGCGCTACATCCAAGGAGCGTCGTGCAGGTGGCTCGATGATATTGGCTGATGCTTGACTTTTCAGATCTGAAGAGGATGCAACTGCCCGACGCAGATCTCCTTGCGGTGCGTACAACGAACTATTCTGTCTTGAATGCGTACGGGAGACCGCGGGTGTCACTGGAGCTGGGGCCTCGACAGGTTGTGTCATGGCCCTCGCCTTTCCAGCACTGTTGTCGGTATTTGCTGCTTCATCCATAGCCAGCCACTTGTAGTACAAATTTGACTTCTTGAATCGTCTAAAGTAAGGCTCTTGTAGCTGTTCATATGCGGCCGTTTGCGCTTGTAATAAGGAACGCCGTGCATTGTGATATTGTTGGGGCGTCGCTTTCCGCCCAGCTTTGAGAAATTCTGCAACTGCTCGGCGGGCTTCCGGGAGAATCTTGAGTTCAGGCTTGGACAAGTATGCCTCGTGGATCTGCGCTAGATCTGCGCGATCCGACTCCGTCCACGTAGGGAGAGTGCCAACGTAGTCCTGACTTTCCTCGGTCTCTACTTCCAATGGGTTACGGAACCCATCTACAACAATCCAGAACTGTACTAGTCGCATGAGATCCGCCTGATCCATGAATTCCATGAAGCACGAAAGACCTGATGCATCATAAAGTACTTCGCGCAAAGATGCATTGGCAAACTTGGACGACGAACGCTTGTGTTTTGGGGCTTCCTGGGCTATGACTTTGGCACGAACTGATCCACCAGCGCTAAGTGTTGCAACCTTGGTATCGAGCACATGACGTGCAGACTCAAGACGCCGCAAATAGACGGGGTCTTGGCCTTCAATCATCGAATCTTTACGTAGCTGGCTTGCGATCTCGCTGCGAAAACGCCTAGCATCTGCAAGCGTGTTTGTTTGCTGTATTGCCCGCATGAATCTTTCGAATTTCCGTTCATTATCGCTGGGCAAGAGTTTAGGGAACTGCGTGTTCTTGGTTGTCTTCTGTGTAGGCGGGGCGTGTTCGTCGAGGGCAGCTCGTACTTTGCGTACCGTCTTTCTTTCTTGTAGCAACGACCGGCCCTAGAGTTATCAGTATCTTTAATGGTAGATAAGAAGTGATCTTACATAGCCCTCCATGAGCTGATTCCATGTATCAGGGTCAGCAAGCATGTGCATCACGGGTGACAGGACTGCACAAGCCACAATCTCTTTGATGAGCACATTGACAGCCGGGCTTGTGGACATATTAGGAGGCATGATCTTTGGTAGGAGTCGCGTGACTATGCTCCTCAAGTGTTGTTGCTGTATTGGTTTGGTGTTTGAGTATGCCAAAGACGCAGCAGGATGCAACCGGCCCTCTTTGTATTTGGCTGCGATGGCAAGATCAAGCTCCTCTGAATCTGTAATATTGCGCGACAGCTTGCGCCCTCGAACTACACGCTCAGCCTCGTACGACGCTTTCAGGTGGTCGGTGATGAGAGGAATTATGCGCGACACGACCATCTCGACCATATCTACTGCCAGTATGCGTTCCCGTATCTCGCCCATGGCTGCACGCACTGCCTTGTCGACCTCGTGTACGAATGTCGGACTCTTGCTGATGCTTCCATACCAGCTTTTTACAAAATCGCGCAGTATCAGGCCGATCAGGACATCGAGGCTGTCTGATATCATATAGGACGCGGGGTATAGCGGCTCCATCATGTACATGTTCCTCTTGTCCAGAGCCTCCCTCTCAGCCTTCCACTTGTCCGGCGCCACAAAGGCAACATGGCGCGGCCCATAGTCGACATTTCCGCCGCGTCGTAGGTCCCTGTCCCAGGCGGTGGTGAAGGCGAGCCATGCCAGCAGTGCGAGCGTCGCAAGTGCTCCGGTGACGAAGGCGTAGGGGAGGTAGTGCAGCTTGGGCTGCCAGTGGGTCAGATAGCCCCAGGCGACGAATATTGCGACGGCAGCAAGAATAAAGTCTCTGCGCTTCACAGTGGCCATACTCGTGCTGGCGGCGCCCGGTTCGGCATCTTGGGTGCGGTGACCGAAGATGCGGGAGGCTTGGTGTTCTGGACAGCCCACTTCGGAGCTTAGGCCACTGACGTCGATCCGGCGTATACCGTATTCACCAGGGACAGCCTCTGCACCAAACTTGACACCATCTCAAGTTTTCGAGTGATTTTTTTTGGTGAGTATGCCTCACTGGAGTATTAACTATTCGGTGAGAGATAACTACTCTGTGCTCACCATCGCATCTTCTACTTCAGCACAAGGTAGCTGTGTATGTTGTCTCGTCAAAACAATCATGCAGTATATAGCTTTCGATGGAAGGGGTTTTCTAGGATGAATTTTCCTCATTCCTGTATGGATTGCTTTTTCTGAATAGCCAATACATTCCTGTACCCTGCATGGTAAGATTTATCACGTGTTCGAAGCATCATGTCAGCGTCTGAAGCTAGAAGGAGCTACAAAGTAAGTGTTGTGCTCTCTCGAACGAGCAAAAGAAAAAACATACACTTTCCATGTGTTTGAAATAATTACGTTGATTGTTGCCAAGTGGAAATGGGGAAGCAGGACAGCGCGTAAGGCCGAACAACCCAACTGGGAGCAGTTTTGGAAAAGGCTTCGACGATACTATTGAAAAGCAGAAAAGGCATCACAACAAACACTAGACGAAAGTTTTGTTTTGGGTATGCAGAAGGATATGAGGATATACGTAGATATTAAGTGGTATCTGGATTATTCACTTTTTCTTATTCGGTGATGTACAAACAAAGCAAACCCGAACTACATCCCATCGTCGTACCATGACACCTTCATTACCATTTCCATCCGTAGTCCATAATAGCCCGATTTCATATCAAAATGTCAACACAGAGAGAAGACATGGTAGTAGTTTACAAAGCGAGCATGGCAAGGGCGGCGGCACCAATGATACCGACGGCCTGGGTGGCCTGGGCAGCGGCACCAGTGAACTCGGAGACGGAAGAAGTAGGAGTGCCGGAGGCAGAGGGTGTGCCAGAGGGTGTCATGGAAGGTGTCATAGAGGGAGTGCCGGTAGAGATGGGGGTAGGCATGGGCACAGGAGTGCCGGATGTCGCAATGGATGAGATGAGCGAGGAGGCGGCCGAGGCAACTGAAGAAGCCGCAGACGCTGCAGAAGATGGTGCTGGAGCGGCAGAGGCAGAGGCAGAGGCGGCAGGAGCGCTGGTGTCGGGGATGGTGATGGGAACACCAGCAGCCTGGCAGGTGGACTCGACGGCGGCAATGGCCTTTGCCTGGTCGGCAGCCTCGCAGGCCTTCTGCACGCAGGGCTGGACCTGGGAAAGGAGTGTGTCGCCCTTCTTGCAGTGGCAGGCAAAGTCGGTAAGGTTCGCGCAGCCGTCACTGGTGAGGGGACCGATGAAGCAGGAAAGCTGAGTATTGTGAGTAGGTGTAGGCTGAGTGGGACATTGCATAGTATGAACATACAGCGCACTGAGGGATGTTGTCGAGCTGAGCGCTGGCGACAGAGGCCAAGACAGCGAGGGAGGCGATGGTGAAGGTCTTCATTTTGGCTGTTGTTTGGAATTGGAGCAGCGACTGATTTGTTCAAGATTGACAGTACGTTTGTAAAGACAGTAGAATCACGATGAGCTTTCAGCGAGGCTATCAAAGACTCTTTATATGGTGGTGGGTGGTGAGGCGCCCCGTGTCCAAACAAGGGAACCTGTTGGCACATCAGTGGGCTCTAGCTCCACACATTACTCTTTGTCACATATGAAAAATTGCCTCCATCCAGATCTTCGAAGGAATGCTGGAGATATGTCTCGATCTGGCGACGCTAGTTGGCTATACCCCAGACTAGAGCATTAGTTGCGGCTGCATGCACGGGACTGCAGACGGCGAAATCTAATGAGGGTGGGAAGAGGTGCCGGGTAGGATACGATCAGCAGCAGGCAGAAATCCCAGACGACTGGAAGGGATGCATTGCCGCGTCAGCCCCTAGACCTCTGAGCATGTGCTTGCTGGCGAGCACCCAAGCAAGGTGTATGTAGTATAGCGTTGAGCCAAGCGACGATCCGAGAATGCGACGGCTGGACGTCATTGGGTAACCAAGGGGTTACAGCATTGTTGTTAGTGGCCTGGTCAGGGGACAAAAGCATGGTAGAGCGGCTGGTCCTTTGGGGTGAAGACAACTACAGGCTGTTGGCCGGGCCTTGGAATTGGTGCGGCAGTGGCACGGACTAGCGCCAATAAAAATCCGGGGCAGTATTGGCATCTGCGCGTGGTTGTGCAAACGTCACATCAAGCCATGCCTGGCTTGGGGCGCCTCTCATGCGCGAAATAAAGAACATTCGCGGACCAAGCCTTCGAAAGCGACAAGGCCATTGGCGCGAGGCCGGCAAATGCGACACACGACAACAGAACTCGCTGTTGCAACAACCCCGCAAATCCCAGCACCCATTCTTGGTCAATCGTCCGGGACCATCCATACCCGTCCTGTTCTGGCTAAAGCCGTTTACTAGAATGGGCTGAGAAACCTGGCCCACCGCCTACCGGGATGTGTCGTCCGAGCGTCCGATACTCCAGCCTGCATGTCGAAGCATTTCGGATGAGTTGGTTGAGTGGCGTGAGCCTGGCACCTCTGTTGCGGTTGTACCTGCGCCGGTTTGCCACATTGATTTTTCCAGCTCTCTATTCCTTCAGAAGCATCAATGGGCTGCTACTCTGCTTGCGCCGCCGCCGCCAACCACAAGGCCGGATGCAACGTGACCATTGACCAGCGAGCCTTCTAGTATGTTCCTGCGTCATTCTCATGCGGAGGCAGCTTCCTTGTATGGCAAGATCTGACGGCTCGGTCGGCGCGAGGCCTAAAGTTCCTCGGCAGCATGTGCTTGTGCTGGCACTGTCCCGCTGCTTTCCAGCATGACACCTTGGAAAATGGAGCGGTAAAGCGGAGAACCTGGAAGATCTGGGGAAACAAGCCTTGTCCCTGAGGCTATGACACCGGAGAAGGCATTTGCGACTCAACTAAAAGCTACCGTAGTGCCTCTGACAGCTGGTTCCGCGCCGACAACACATTGGATGGCCATCGCATCGAGTTAATTAGCAGCGCAGCAACAGGCGAGTTCACCGTTTACCCAATGTTTGCCGCAGGGTCGCATGATTGGACGGCGGTAGGTGAGTGGCGCTCTAAATCGCATCCCTGCGCGCTCTGGAAATATGTGCATATGCACACACATTCATGCGAGCTTTCGAAGCGCAGCCGTCTGCTGGACCACATGATGACGAGTTCCATACAGTTCCCTAAGAGACCATGCCTGTGAAATACCGCGATGCTTTTCATCGAGCTTGCAATAATGTGACGGCTCACCCTTCGTCTTGACCCATTCTGGCACCTGATGACAAGTCTCGGCCATCACAAACGATTGAGGATACGAAGAGTTTTCATTTTTGGCCAGGAACCTAGGGCTTTCAAGCTCTAATTTCATAGAAAAGATCGTCGGAAGAGAACTTATCGTATGATGTGAGCGCAGTACATGTACAGAATCGACTGGTTCTAACAAGACGAGCTGTAGTTCGAGGCCCAAGGCAGAGAGAGGCTTGTCTTACTAGAAGTCAGGTTCCAACAAAGAAATATAGCACTGCAGTTAGTGATAGTGTTTAACAATTTCCAACCTACAAGTTGCTTGGTTGCCCAGAATTTGGGTAGAGGTTCTCAAGTCTTCTTCGTTCCTGGACATGTTAGAGCAAGGCGAATGTAGTCGAAGACGTGACATCAACGCATCCATACTCCCCCCTTTTTTGAAAACGTGCCTCATGAGCTTTGAACAATTGGAGATAGTAGAAAGGACAAATGTCATCAAGTTTCGGGACCGAAGTTGTGAGGACCAGCGTCAGCAATGGTGCTCAGGTTCGAAGATCAGATGAGATAAGATAAGATCCAATTCGGCCTTGGCTCGGTCCAGTGCAGCCAGGCGCGCTAGTGAAACTTCCGTCGGCGGTCGCGATTCCCAAGTTCATGACGAACTGTTGGCCTCGCATAACATCCAACGTCTCCACACGTGTGTTCTCTCTGTCAACTCTTGCTATCACCATCGCCTAAGTCGCTATACCTGCGGTTTTGCATTGTACCCATCAGATTCTCCGACATACAAACGCAGTCATGGCCGACACGGCAGCTTCGCGACCTCCCAGCACGGCAGAGCAGCTCGTAAGGATGTCCTCGAAGCGGACGCGGGAGATATTCGCCGCCGACTTTGCTTCATCCGCCGCATTAGATCACGCATCCAACGGCAGCTTCTCCATACACCCCACATCGCCGGCCCCCTCGACCGCCGCCGACCAAGCAGGCGTCGCATCGCGCATTCGCAATGAATACGAACACGTCCGCGAACTTCCACCTGCTCTCGCGGCTAAGATGGCCAGTGCCGCATCCACAGCAGCAGAGCGGCGCAAGAAAATCAAGGCGCAGAACGCCGAGGAGAAGGCCTCTGATCCTAAGATGCAGAAGATGATTGAGGGAGTCTCAGAAAAGGCTGACAAGGCGCGGGATGCGCAATCAATGCAGCTGGCAGTACGAGCTGGAGGAAAGGGCGCTGCTCCCAATGCACACGGGCCCACACCAAACAAAGATCAGACATCCAGTTCGCTGGTCAGGAAGGATGTGGTTAGGCAAGCGAAGCCTGAGTGGCATGCTCCTTGGAAAATCAAGACAGTCATTAGCGGACACATGGGATGGGTGAGTAAATTTCAATTGCCTATAGGAGTAACAAGAACTGACTTGGTCTAGGTGCGATCAGTGGCTATGGAGCCTGGGAACGAGTGGTTTGCTACTGGCGCAGCAGACCGCACCATCAAGCTCTGGGACCTTGCGAGCGGTCGGTTGAAAATCACCCTAACGGGACACATCTCGGCAGTCCGAGGCCTTGCAGTAAGCCCGAGACATCCCTATCTTTTCTCCTGCGGAGAAGATAAGATGGTCAAATGCTGGGACCTCGAAACCAACAAGGTAATCCGACATTACCACGGCCATCTGAGCGGAGTCTACTCGCTTTCGCTTCACCCAACAGTGGACGTGTTGTGCACAGGAGGACGAGATGGCGTAGTACGTGTATGGGACATGCGCTCACGCAGTAACATCCATGTCCTCGGTGGTCACAAAGGAACAATCTCGTCAATCCAGTGTCAAGAAGCCGAGCCACAAGTAATATCCGGAAGCATGGACAGCACGATCCGACTATGGGACCTTGTCGCAGGAAAGACCCGAACTGTGTTGACCCACCACAAAAAGTCTGTCCGCGCTCTTGCCACGCATCCTACAGAATTTACCTTCGCCTCTGGTTCTGCACAATCCGCGAAACAATGGCTATGCCCCAACGGAGACTTCATGCAGAACTTCTCCCCCGTAAACAGCATCATTAATACCCTTTCGGTAAACGAAAACAACATGATGTTCGCCGGCAGCGACAATGGCGAAGTCTCCTTCTACGACTGGAAAACTGGCCATCGCTTCCAACACACTGAGAGTATCGCTCAACCTGGTTCTCTTGAAGCAGAAGCTGGAGTCATGTGCTCTACATTCGATGCATCGGGTCTTCGTCTTATCACTGGCGAGTCAGACAAATCGATCAAGATTTGGAAACAGGATGAGAATGCAACGGAAGAGACGCATCCTCTAGACTGGAAGCCAACACTTGGTCGACAAAAATATTAAGGACGTGACGCCATTTGCCATCAAACTTGGGCAAATGCGATTATTGATGTTGCATGGTGATTAGGAGTTTTTGGCGAGCATGTTGGCGTCGAAAATGTATGACTATTTTGGATGTTATTTTTTCCCCTTCATTGTATTGCATGCACAAGTCTGAGAACGAACGAGAATATACCATACCAGCGACGAAAGTGCGGTCTTCGTCTTTCGAACTCTGATTCGAACAATATAGCTCTAAATTTAAAAGCTATGGTTTCTAATGGACTTCTTCATTCGACAGCTATTTGGAGCGTCATGAAACGTTTCTTAGCTTTATTACATTTGGGACGTCTTGTTCATCACAAAGGCATACACGGGCACGTGAGCGAGTTTGGAGCATCGGTTAACAGACTGTTTCTTCTATCAATACATGAATAGACGCTTAGAGCTGATCTGATGTAGTCTTTGTCTTATGGATACAATCGAATTGTGTCTCCTGGCTGGGTTGATGAGCGAAAGATGGTGTTTGTCCACCCGCTACCCTTTCCCTTTCACTCTTGCCAGATTTGGAAACTGCAATTCACTCTCACCTCTCAGCGCGAATTGAAAAATTTTTCATTCGGCTAGCTTTTGCACAAACAAGAGTCAACCCACTCATACCAAAACATCCTCCTCCCCCTCTGTCAAAGCATTCTTTTTCCACATCAAAGCACTGTCTTCCCTTCGTGTTGTACAATCCTCCCTGCCGACAATCGAAAAGCTATCCACCATCTCATACGTTCGACCTGAAGCGACTGTTGTTACTCAGAATGTCGGGCCGTGGTAAACCCAGCGGAAGAAGCAGGGGAACCCGCGGTCATGGTCGTGGTCGTGGCCGTGGTCGCGGAGGTAACAGATCCGAAGGACAGCATGTACGCGAGACTGCTCCCACCAGAATCGAAGAGACAGAAGCACAGCGCGAGGCACGCAGTTCATATAACTCGTGGAAGCGATTGTTTGCCCGACCATTCGATAACCCCAGTACAATGCGACAACTCTGGAAAGGCGCGCTCAGTATCTTGGAGGCAGGAGATCGAGACTGGTGCCAACGACTCCCTCAAGACCTTAATGACGAAGATGGCATTGGACATCGCCACATCCTTGCCTTACTCAACGCCCATATCAGTGTTACTGACTACGAGACTTTCATCAGCAATGCTCGCAACTTCCTTCTTACAATCACTCATCCATCCATCCTGCGCTGTCTCGCTGTTGATAACCATGTTGGACTCATCTACAACCTCTTTGGAGGGGTTAGTGGAAAGAGAGCTATTTCATTCCTTCGACGCCTTATTAGGGCCATATTGGCAGCTACGGTTGCAGAGACCACCGGGAACCTAACGGAGGACGTAAAAGCGACACTTCTTGCCATGTCGGTTGCTCTATTTGAGCTTCTCAGGCGTGAATCTAGGGTGCGCTTCAATGATGAGATCCCTTCGCTTGTCGAATCCATACAGACTGCCACAGGAGTCTCTAAAGATGATGCTTCTTCAGATTCGTTGGCACGCATCTTTAATAAGCTCAACGACACCCGAGCCTTGCTAGCACGCGCTCAAGGTCTTCTTGCTGACATGAGCATGGACGAAGAAAATGCAGCCGATGTGTACAACGCATCCTCCTACCCGCGCAACCTGATCGTGCCCTCCGACCGTTTCGACAATGACAAGAAAGATATCGCTGACATAATCCTGTTCCCTACCCGAGATGAGATTATGAGCGACGCAGAAGAATTTCTTCCCTATACCGACCCTGATCAGCCTCATTTCCTCAATGATCCTGTACAACGCCACATCGATACCTTCTTCAGGTTGCTACGCCACGATATCTTTGGTGAGTTAAAGGAAGCTCTAGCAGGGGTAATGCATACAGTAGCTCAGGAGCCTACTGCGCTATGGAATACAAAGCTGAGCCTAGGGGACATGCGCGCTTATCATTACATCAATGCTCAGATCAGTCATGTCACTTTGGAGGCCAGAAAGGGTCTACAAGTACAAGTTGAGTTTGTTCAACCAGCCGCAGTTCGCAGGAAGTCAAGTGAAGAAAGAGAAAGGTGGTGGGAGGAATCGCGAAGGTTCAATCAAGGAACACTGCTTTCCTTTATATGGATCGATAATTCTGCCACTCATCACGTTTTCCTCACAGTTTCGGGAAAAAACACGGATCCCACAAAAGAATACGGCCTGAGTCATGGCAAAGAACTGGCGTACATCACTTCGAGTTTGGCAACGCAAGATCGGGCCACCGTGAGGAGTCTCATGGAGGCGCATAGTGGAGCGGCTCGTGGCCTGCTGTTGGAATTTCCCAATGTGATACCTGCCACATTCTCACCCATTCTGGAGAATCTGAAGGAAATGCACCGCTTGAATTGTCTCCCATTCCAGCAGTGGATCGTGCCTCGCAGACACGAAGGACCACCGGGGCAACGAGTGATGCATCAAATCCCCCCGCCTTTGTATACACGTACTTCCGGCTTTAAATTCTCTTTGGCACCTCTGCTAAAGGATGAAAATAAAGACGACCAGTTACTAATGGATCCTACGTCCTCATGCGATGACGAAGTGTTACTCAAGAAGCTTGGAACAGCGACTCATCTTGACCCTGGGCAATGCCAGGCTTTAATTGCGGCACTGACTCGCGAATATGCATTTATTCAAGGCCCTCCTGGAACTGGAAAGAGTTATCTCGGTCTCCGAATCGTGAAGGTTCTTTTAGGTCTCAGCAAAAAGGCCAATTTGGGGCCCATTATGATAGTATGCTACACCAACCATGCGTTGGACCAATTCCTAGAACATCTGCTTGGTATGGGTGTGACAAAGCTTATCCGCGTTGGAGCAATGAGCAAGTCCAAGAGGTTGGAAGGCCACAATCTCCGCTCTGTGAGCAACCTGGGGACAAAAACGAATTCAGAAAAGTACATGGCGGCTGTGAACTACAACGAGCTCCAGAAGACGCAGCGGGAGGCCATATCAATATTCGCTTCGTTGAACAGCTTGCGAAGAAATCCTGATTGGAAAACCCTGGAGAATTGCATTTCTGAAGAGCACCCAAACATACACAGCCAATTCCGCCGTATCGATGATCAAGGTTTTAAACTATCTGGTCGTCATCCATTCGACGTTTGGGCGTCTGACATTCAGGCATCTGGCACTCGAAAGTCAGCGTCATTGCTAAAGCAGATTGTCCAGAAAGCAAACACGGATGTATATTCGCTGACGAGTCGGGAGCGAAGCGCTTTAGTTGCGCATTGGATTGAAGGAGCTCGAAACAACAAAATAGACGAGCTCTATGAGATGATCAATGATGCGACGAAAACTCAGCAAAAGCTCACAAACGTACACGAAGAACTGGATCGAAGAGTACTGGAACAAGCGCAAGTCATTGGTGTGACGACAACCGGTCTTGCAAAACGAATTGCTGTCCTCCAGCAAGTCAAGTGCAAAGTTCTCATCTGCGAAGAAGCCGGAGAGATTATGGAAAGCCACATGATCTCCGCACTACTCCCCGATGTGGAACATGTAATCCAGATTGGAGATCATGAGCAGCTTCGACCTTCAGTGAGCAACTTTCGCGATCTATCACTCGAGAGTGAGCGAGGAAAGCTTCACCAGCTCGACAGAAGCCAGTTCGAACGACTCTGTGTTGGTGAGCTGGGACGTCCTTTGATGCCTGTTGCTCAGCTCAATGTTCAGCGCCGAATGCGTCCACAGATATCTTCGTTGATACGTGAGACCATTTATGGGAAACTCCAAGATCATCCTTCCACCAACGATCTACCCAATGTAGTTGGTATGCGCCATAATGTTTTCTGGCTCGACCACACAAACTTCGAGAACCAGAACGATGAAAATGCCCATATCAATAGTTCCAAATCGAACTCATGGGAAGTTGGAATGGTGCATGCACTAGTGCGACACATTGTTCGCCACGGAGTGTACAAATCTAAAGACATCGCAGTATTGACGCCATATACCGGCCAACTTCAGAAATTACGAGCCACTTTGAGGAGCGATTTCGAGATTTGCCTTAGTGACCGTGATAGGGAAGCATTGGAAAACGACGGCTTCACAGTCGATGACGTGACATCTCAAGTACCAGCTGCATCCGAACTTCGATCATACCAAGGCAAGCCCTTGGAGAAGAAGCAGCTCTCAGAAATGTTGAGAATTGCGACTGTCGACAACTTCCAGGGAGAAGAAGCAAAGATCGTCATTGTGTCACTCGTACGGAGCAATGAGGTACAGAAAGTTGGGTTCCTGAAAACGACCAACCGTATCAACGTACTCCTTAGTCGTGCCAAACACGGCATGTATCTCATTGGTAACACGGAAACTTACGTTAGCGTTGAAATGTGGCAGAAAGTTATCCACATACTCAAAGCCTCTGCCTGTATCGGTAAGAGCCTGGCTCTGTCTTGCTCTCGACACCCCGGAACGACTATCGAAGTACAAGAACCAGATGACTTTCAGAAATACAGCCCTGAAGGTGGCTGTATGTTGGCGTGTACTGACCGTCTTGACTGCGGTCATCGATGTGGAGCTAGATGCCATTCAGAAGCTATCCATGCAGTGTTCCAGTGCGAACAGCCATGCCAACGCCAGCATCAACCGTGTGGTCATTCATGCCAAAAGGCTACATGTGGAGAGTCTTGTGGGAAATGCGTGGTACTTTTGGACAACGTGCCGCTTCCGTGTGGCCATCTCAAGCATTCTGTCCACTGTTACCGCACCCAGAACGTCGCTAGCATTGCTTGCGATGTCAAGGTATCGAAGGTAGTTTCTGGCTGCAAACATGAAGTGGTTGTGAAATGCTCTCTGGATGTTTCTACAGCCCACTTCAAATGCCCTACCCCTTGCGAGGCTCTGCTACCTTGCGGTCATCCTTGCCCCGGAACCTGTGGCCAATGCAACACCAAGGATGCTCGTGGTAAGCCACTGATCAAGCATTCTACCTGCCAGAAGATTTGTGGTAGGAAGCATGGAACCTGCAGTCACAACTGCAAACGTCCGTGCCACGATGGAACTGATTGTGGCTTGTGTTAAAGCCCATGTGAAGTAAGTTGCACGCATATCCTTCCCGCTGCGTTTTTTTGACGTTTTTAGGTCCGCTGCAAGCACACCAAGTGTGCAAAGAAGTGTCATGAGCCTTGCACGCCATGCACTGAGCCTTGCGAATGGTTCTGCGATCATCAAGGCAAGTGCAAAATGCCATGTTCAGCACCATGCGATCGCTTACCATGCGATGAACGTTGCACAAAGCTTCTGCCATGCGGTCATCAATGTCCGAGCATTTGCGGTGAAGAATGTCCTACGGAATACTGCCAGAAATGCGGTATGAAATCTGAAGAACAGCCAGACATGATGATGATGTCAAGTTACGCTGATATCGATCTAAATGAATCACCCATTGTTGTCCTTGGTTGCGGTCACTTCTTCACAACGGAGACTCTAGACGGCCATATAAGTCTCAAGGATTTATACGAGGTCGACAAGAAAACTGTTCGATTCATCGGTCTGATCGAGAATTCTGAGTTTTCAGCAGCGATTCCACAATGTCCAAACTGCAGAGAACCTGTCAAGCAGTTCGTGACACAGCGCTACAACCGTCTTATCAACCGAGCTGTGATTGACGAGTCGTCTAAACGTTTTATCGTTAGCGGACAACAGGCGCTTCATTTACTGGAAGACAGGCTTGCTATTGAGCGGGCTAATCTCGAAACCTCACGCACTGCTATTGTTCCCCAATCTCCTGGTTTGGGGACCAATCAGGCTATCATTGAAAAGAAGATGAAACATATCCATGACTGCGTTCGAAACAGGTATTCCAGTACGGCGATTTTGGTGGAAGACGTAAGATCGTTCCGCCACAAAATGGATATTCAGCACAAACCAACATACAAACTTTACCAAGCAATTATACACAGCTACAAGAGGAATGCTTCCCTTGACAAAGATTTTGCTCAATTATCCCTCAGCTCATCTTCCAAGTATTTGGAGCGTGACCGCGATCAGCGTGTGACTTTAGGTGGCCGCCTCCTCGAAATCAAAGTGCAATGCCTGCTACTTGAGGACAAATTTGAAATTGCACGAGTGGTACTCAAAAATGTAGGTGGAACAGTACCACTCAAATTTAGTGGAGGCTCTCCTGCAAAAAAGACAAATTCCTTCCTTGAAGCATGCGAGAAATTGATCGGCGATTGCATGTCTGGATACCTTCCCAAACTCGCTGTCGAGACATCGCTATACTACGCCTGTATCGCACACCTTTTCAGCAGATCTGGAATGGCCAAGGACACTGATCGCACTCGAGCAACCAACTACCGCAACACTGCCAAACACCATTTAGAGCAAGCAGAAAAGCTCTGCCAGAATTCTTTTCGTGGCCGAGACATCCTCCGAAAAGCAGTGCTCAGCTCAGCAGAGATGCTGAAAAGGGACTTCTACGAGGAAGTTTCGAAGGACGAAATCGAAGCTATCAAACAGGCAATGGTCAGTGGGCCTGGAGGTATCGCAACGCACTCTGGACATTGGTACAACTGTGCCAATGGACATCCAGTAGGTCAACCACAACCCCATCTTTACAATGATGATACTGATACTGCGTAGTTTGTTATTGGCGAGTGCGGTATGCCTATGGAACGTGCTCGCTGCCCGGAATGCGGCGAGCCTGTTGGCGGCCAGAACCACGCTGCCGTCAGGGGAGTTTCGTGCGCGATGGAGATGGAGTAATCAACCAGAAAATTGACAATTTAAGTGTTCGTATTGGACAAGGATAGTCGATATATCAAGGTGGGGAATGGCAGCTTTGAGAAGAGGAGATGTGAGGATTGGGGGCTAACTTCGTTCCGGATCGAGTACTACGTTTCACGACGCAGCCGCATCTTCCTTGGGTATAGAGCTGCTGCACAGCTGTATTATGTAGTACGGCTAACTCTTGTGTTACTTGGGCTGGTTGATTGGTGAGGTCAGGGTACGTGCTGGAGGAATCATGTGGAAATTGGAACAGTCCAGCAGATGTCTGCAAGGGAATGAATAGACAAAGTAGATGAACAAATGCTGGAACAGCAGAGCCTAGTATTTCGTGGTTGATGAAATAGTGACCAGGAAGTGTTCAATATGCACTTCGTTATACATCGTGAGATGCACCGCAGCTGCACGCTCGGCTCCCCACGTTGTCGCAGGAGAATAGGTATACATTGAACATGGCGAACACGTCGACTTTTCCGGGGAATCAGTTCATCAATCTCTTAAAAACACTGCGATTCTCCACTACTAGTATCGCATCGAACCATTTTAGAACCTCACACTCGCTTTCAACACCCCCTTCGCATTTCCCAAAAATATCACTACACTGCTTACAGCAACACCACCACCACCAAACGCCCACTAACAATGGAAACCTCATCTTCCCCACATGGAATCGCCAACCACCTCTTCGCCATCACAGGCGCAGCCTCAGGCATCGGTCGCGCAACAGCCACGCTCCTCGTCCAAAGCGGCGCCAAAGTCTCGCTCGCAGACAAAGACGAAGCATCCGTCCTGAACCTAGCCCAGGAACTCGGCGAAAACGCCGCAGGGTACAAAGTCGACGTTACAAAGAGCGACGAGGTAGAAGCGTGGATAGGCCGGGCGGGTGAGAAGTGGGGGAAGGGGTGTATAGACGGTACGTTTTTATCTTTCGTATTTCACATACGTACACAAACACACAGGCAACGTAAACACCGACCTCATAGTAAAGTATATACGTATTCACGGAAAATTCCAGGTGCAGTAAATCTCGCAGGTATATCCGGGGCCCTCGCCCCAGCCCACGCACACTCGCCCGCCAACTACGCCGCCGTGTTTGCTGTAAACGTCGAAGGGACATTCAATTGCATGGCGGCGCAACTGCGCAACATGCGCGTTGCAAGCGGCCATGTACCAGGCGGATCCATCGTCAACGCAGCATCGATAACGGGGTTGGTCGGGAAACCGAATTGCTCCATCTACTGCGCGTCGAAGCATGCGGTTGTGGGGCTTACGAAGGCGGCGGCGAAGGAGCAGGCGGAGACGGGGATAAGGGTTAATGCTATTGCTCCGTACGTTCTTTTTTTTTCCTTCTTTTTTCTTCTTCTGAATCACGTTATGTATGGGGGTGGAGGCTACGTACACTACTACTCTTCCTCGGACGTAACTTGTTGGGTATGTTCCGAGATGGATGCGTAGTAGTAGTAAGCAAAGGAACCCATTGTCGAAATTTGGACTGACACAAGTTTTTTTCTCCCCGTAGTGGCTTCGTGGATACGCCGCTTATGCACGCGCTCGACGCCGAACTCGGATTCGCGCTGCCAAACGATGCGGTGCTGGGGCGACGGGCACGTCCCGAGGAGGTGGCTAGGGTGATTCGCTTCTTGCTTAGTAGCGAGGCGAGCTTTGTGACTGGATCGGTGTATCAGATCGATGGGGGGATGGTGTGCTGAGTGAGAGTGTGTGTATGTTGCTTGCCGATGGTGTGGGGGGAAGGAGAAGATGGAGGGTTGGGCAAACAAAAAAAGAGAAAGAGAGTTGGGTAAAAAAGAAATATGGTAGGGGCGTGGTGAGAGGCATGTGTGCAGAAGCGAGACTTTGACAAGTGCGGTTGTGGTTTTTATCGTTCTGCTTACTACTACTACGCTTTCTTCGCCTTCTTCCTTTTTTATCTATTTTGGCTTGTAAGGGGTCAAACGAAACGTTTAGCGTAATAGAAAAGTTTGGTACGTGTGAGTGGGGGAGGTAACGGGGGAGTGGGTGTCGGGACACGTCGATTGATAGGCACTGTTTGAGTTCTTTGGTACCGAAGGCGGACGTTATGGCATTTCATTGCCGCTGCATTGCGCTAGTTACCAGATATCAGGACATTCTTGCGGGGAAAAGGAAACACCGAAAAAAAGATTGTATCTGGCGTTTTGGTGGTAGTTGATTGTGTCGGGAACGCCGACCGAACCAACACAAGCTCAGAGAGAAGAAAAGAGTGAATGCAGCATTCGGCGAATATCTTCTGCGCTACGGCCTTATTATCTGTTGTGATGGTTGGGCGATTTTACTTCCTTTTTCCTTCGATCGAGATTCGATCGAGATAGATGCAGCGTGAATACGCCGTCGTATATGGCCTGTACTTCTTTTCTTTTGATGCTGGAAGCTTAACCGGATTCTATATCCGTTGGCGGCATTGAACTAGTTGTAGATGTTAGAATCATTGTAATGAATATGGTGAGGGGTACGACAAGACGCAGCTGATGTGAATGAGGGGAAATTTGTGTCGTCGTGGATGCAAAGACGCATAGTTAAGTTGAAAAAAAAAGAACTAATGTCTGATGCGCCTTTGCGGCTACACGACCCATAACTTGCGCCTCGTAACCCCTTTCTTGCCCTCTCCTCCCATACTCATCTGCGGTAATTTACCATCGTAATACCGCACACATCAGCTTTGCTCACCGGTTAAGTTAACAAACTTTTCTATTGTAACACCTTCGTCTTACTTTTTTCTCCCTCATTTAGTAGATCAAAATCAACGTTGCGTATACACATACGCGGACGTGAAATTGAAGCACGTCCATGTACGATAAGGTTGACAACAAGAAGATGTGATGACTTGGAGATACGGATCGAAGCCCGCTTTTTTGACTTTAACTAAAAGCTTTTTTTCGACAAGAATCTTAGCATGGCATTGAGCATTAAGGTGCCGAGGGGCGATTTCTGTGAAACAACAGAAAACGGTGTTTGTATGATGCTAGAGTAGCTGAGCGCTGCTGATCGAATTTCTCGATCTATCGATGAGAATTCTGCTCTGCATTACCTTGGCATACCATACCCTTCCCGTCCTTCATGCATTATTTATGGCTAGTGACTGCGCGTTAAGAATAAGACAACATTAGGTACGTTTGCAAAGAGTTAAAGGGGCGTTGAAAAGGGAAGCGGCCAAGTCAAATTAGACACGGAGGTGCTGTGGATGCGAAGCAAAAAAGAGAAACCTACGGATGGGCCGTTAAATCTTGTTGAAGGAGGCAAGGCATGATAGGTTGAAACGTTGGGGCTGAAAGAAGTTTGGCAGTTTAGGGAAAGATAGACAGGGAGAAAGCTTATTGGAGAGGATACTTGCAATCCGGCGACTATGATTGGTTTATCAGGTGGGCCCCTACTCTATATTCCAAATCAGGATTAGCCAATTCCACGATGTAGTACAGAAGGTCAGATTATACGCATGTATATGTCGTAAACACAGAAAAAGGCAGATCCCATATACTGTGGTCATGATAGTACCTGGGTGATTGAATACATTATTTGTTTAATATGTGGTTCACGCCGATAGGCGGTTTACAAAGGAAAGACGATGGATACGCTTTGCGTGTGACGCTAACTAAACTTTGAGGCCTCCCAAACTACCTGTTTTCTCTTGCCACTACTAGGAGAAAGGGAAAATGCCCCTGAAACTGAACCCGACATTGCTATCCTATGGGAAATGCACTCATTTCATTTCATGTCCCCCATCTTGGCGAATACCTTTTCGTGACGAGGATCTGTGGGAAGTGCTTGCACAATGACCGCTTCGAGTTCGCGATGCGATCCGTTGGAGCCGATACGCTCACGGTATTTCCAGTCTGTTTCTCCACTGCGGTCGGAGAGCATGACGTCTTCCCTTTTACTTTGAGTTCCCCGCAGGCGGTCTGTAACTGTTTGGCTTGCGGAGACGAACCAGGGGAGGCGACCAGCAGGCTTGACTAAATTGACGAAATAAGCCCAGGTCCATGATCATTGGTGTGATATTAGGGTAATTTCCGAACTTACTAGTCCAATACTCCCGGTGATCTTCATCATCTGGAACGATGTAACCGCCGGAAATAACCTTGGTTATGTAGATCATCCCGTTAAGTGCCGTGTATACCATTAGACCCGCTATTAGACCATAGGCGGCGCTATAGCCAAAGGGGATGAACATGACAGTTACAAATGCAGGGACAGCGTCGCCGATGTAGCGCCAGTTGATCGACGTGATCTGTCGCATCATGAGGCAACCAACCTGGTGACAGGGTCAACGGCGAAGCTCGGGTCAGCAGTAGTATGGGTACAACTTACAAGAATTAGAGTACATCCGGTAGCCCATGGTGGAATAGATGCGAATATGGGCGCGAAGAACATGGATATGATGAAGCACAGCCCACAAGTCATTGCTGTCAAGCCGGTCTTCCCTCCTTCGGCAATGCCAGCGCCACTTTCAATAAAAGCTGTGACAGGGGAACAGCCAAGAAGCGCGCCGATGGATATGCAGAAAGCGTCTGTGCAATAAGCGATTGTTGATCTAGGGAAATCTCCAGTCTCCGAGTCGACAACACCAGAAAAGCGGGCCATGGAGTAGAGCGTTGCCGTACAATCGATGATGTCGACGTAAAGAAAGGTAAAGAGAGCGAGGGCGAAGTGGCCAGAATTCTTGGAGATGCTCCAATCTAATACGTTCAAGGTACGATCAAGAGGCTGGAAGCTGACCACCTTTTTGAAAAAGTTGAATCGGTTGTTGCCAATTTCGGAGTCGGGGAAGAAGGTCACTTCAGTTCCTCGTCTGTAAAGATATTAGTACAATTCGCCGTCCATAGGGATTCATCAGACGTACGGCCATGAGATAATAGATACAAGCAGAATAGCCAGTATCATGGCACTCTTGACTTTGTAAGACATCAAGTACGCTGTCAGAATGCCGCCACACATGATGCCAAGCCACATCTAAATGCTCTGATTAGTTGGGCCTTGTCTAGGTATGGCGACGCAACGTACTGTCGGCGATGTCATCTTGTGGCTTTTGCAAGCGCCAAACTCATCCTTGTATTGGTTTGGACATCCAGCAATGTCAAGTGGTGTACTGCTCGAACCCGCAATAGCTCCAATGCCAGCATTATTGCTGAGGCCCACCTCAGCTAAGAATAGCCCGATGCCGCAAGCAGCGGCAATCTTGAGCGACACAGGAATGACCTTGACAAGCCATTGTCGCATTCCTACCAAGGACAAGAAGATGAATATCAGGCCCTCGACAAAGACTGCAGTAAGTGCAAGGCTGTAAGAGATGAGACCGCTTCCATGGAAACCCACGATTTGATAGGCAAAGTATGCGTTGAGTCCCATTCCTGGGGCGAGGCATACTGGCATGTTTGTTAGGAATCCAAACAAGAAGGAACTAAAGCCTGCTACTGCTGCTGTTGCTGTGATGAGATTGCGGTTGACATCTGGTCATGTGTTAGCCAAAGTTTGTAGTTCATGTGTAGACTGCTCTTGCCTTGTTTGCAAATGAGGTACTCGCTGTTTTTTAAGCACAAAGGGTCGGCTGTATCGTTGCACACGCAGTTTCCACCGGTGTCGGACAGAATGGTAGCCTAGTCTCTCAGTAACGTTTTTGACATGCGACCCTCACAGACTAACATTGACAGCGATGATGTACGCCATAGTGAAGAATGAAGTGAGCCCAGCTCGAATTTCTGTAGTAAACCTAGTGTGCTTGATTTCATCCTCCTATTCGACATGTCAGCGAGTGATAGCAGGGCGTTAATGCTAGCAATGGAACACACATGTCCACAGCCGTCGAGGCGAAAGATCCTCCCGAAAGTTGACTTTCCGATCCGGGCATTGAAAGCGTCGACATAGGCGTGATAAGTTTCCATGGCTGCAGATGTATGAAGACAAGCAAATGTGGAAATGCGGATCTTTGCTGGGAGGAGGGGGCGAGCAGGAGGACCGCAAAGGATCTGCCTGCACCGACTATATGTGTGTCGCGGGTGGCGTGGTATAAGCAAGCATGAACGAGGCTCAAGCAAAAGCAGATGCCATGTATAGGGCTCGCGACTGCGACAAGTCAGACCGAAGCCATAAGCAAAAGACAGATGATAATGCCACTGAGAGATAAGAGGACTCCGAGGCTTTGCTAGTCTCCAGACCAGAAGCAGGCCAGACGGCAAGGCGCTGACGGAGGCGGGGAGCAAGGGGAGCTAGTTCCGGCACCAGGGCAGAAACACGCATCCGAAAGCGTTCTCATGTAGGGAACCAAGGGGTGACGCAGTGGTAACATGATCCTAGTCAATGCCGCCGCGGCAAGAACGTTGTCGTACAGACGAACCGGATGCTGTGGAATGGTACGCGCGGGTGGGGTGCGAGTGAAGTAGCCCTGTGTCGTGGTGGTTGAGCATTGTATGATCATGGGTGGAAGCGAGTCAGGGGCGCGGGTGGGCCGGCCGGGGTTAGTCAGGCACCCTTGATGCAGATCCAGCCGCATTCCGCCTGGCACATCTGTCGATCATCAGTGCAGTAATTCTCGCCCCGCACTGGCAGCAGATGGCCAACGCCTCGGCGTCTCAGTGGCAGCGGGTGTTGCGCCATGGTGTTTGTTTCTTTTGGCCGCACATGGCGTGTCTAATTGTCGGTAGGTGTCGTCTGCCCAGTGCTCAAAGGCCAGACTTTGCGCCGCTGTGCCGGGTGCGTGGCACTTGGCCTGCGTCGACGAAGATCAACACTGATCTCCCGCCGCCGAACGACTCGATTTTTCCTCTTACGTCTGCCGGCCGTGTCTGGTAAGCCTGCTGGTGCTCCGCAAGACGGGCCACCATGTCTCCTTGTCAAACCTTGCGACCGAATACCGCGGAGTGCAGACGAAGAGGCCGACAGGCAGGCTGGCTGCGCCTATCATGCAGCATTGCATTATGCTTTTTCCGGGGAAGTCCCGCACCAGATAGAGAGACGCATTGCACGCCCTTAGCACGTGTGGCCGCAGACCTCTCCAGCAATGCGACCGGCATATCCAAGAAGGGCATTGTGTTGGGCAACCGTGCGCCCATCATCCGAGCACGACGGCATGGGGGTGGGTAGTGCGCTTGGCCGTGTAGTTTGGCTCGGGAAGGCCTGATATTAGACCTAAAGTAGAATCAAGAGGTCAATAACGCCACATTCTCGTTGGTGCGACAGCGTTTCGTCAATTACTCACATACGGCCGGTGCCAGGTACCGCTACGTGATCTGCCTGACGGCCGCAACACCATCTGCCAGGCGCCCGTGTCGGCGTGCATTGACCGGCCAGAAGGCTCCATTTCATTCACAAATAGCCTCCAGTCCACGCTCTGCGTTCGCCATCTAGGGCCGTCAACTTAGAGTGTGGCCCCACTAACCCCACTGTGTCTCTTCATCCATAGTCGAGCATGTTTGCAACGGACCTTCCACTGGAAAAAGAGCCCGAGACATTCGGAGCTCGAAGAGAACGAAAGGCGAAGGAGCGATCCGTCAGGTCCCCATCTATCGGTGCCTCCACTACATCAAGAAGTTCGAGAGGCTCTGCCTCGACTGAGCGTGACGCATGGTGGCCGACAAGCTTGAAGAAGGCAAACATCATCAAGCCTAAGATCAAACGATCCCCATCCAGCTCCAGTCAGTCTTCCCAAAAGACTTTCCGTAATGTTCCGGCGACATTGGATATGAAAAAGGCCCGTGAATTCAAGGATCCGGCGCTGCAACCAAGTTGGACGTATACTAGCTCACTTTCTGGCACTCTGCCATCCGGCAACTCTTTACACTTGGACGAATACCACCAGATCTCAGAACTCGAAGGTGATAACTCGTCTCGACAATCAAGCTCCATTTCTTCACACGCCTCGAGTAAGTCGTCAATCACCATGTCGTGTTGGGGATTGCACTGATCTTGTTGGACAGATGACCGAGATGAGGCAATGACGCCCATCACAATAGATAGCGACGACGCGCCTCAACTGTCAACCATGAGTCCAGAGTCATTTGTGACAAGCCGAAGCAGAGCGAGTTCATCGGCTGGCGAACCCTGTTCTTCAACATGGCCGTCTGTTCTGGACATGAGAAGCAATAAAAAGACGTAAGCAGTATGGCTTTTGTCGTTGGGTGCTTATACTAAGCCTCTGCAGCTCTCCGCAGCCAACAAAGAAAGGATGCTCAAGACCAGAAGCGTTGGAATTATACGACAGCTTCCACAGAAAAATGAGTTTGAATGACATAAGAATGCCCTCTTTCGACTCGGACATGTCCAGCAAACCTTTCTCACAATGGCAATGTCTTGCTCCTCGCGAGGTACCCACGGAAATGCAGCCGAACGTACAGCCACAAACATCTGCCAGCATACTCTATTCTCCCAATAGCAGCTCCATAAAGCTTACTCGATTTCAGCGATTTATTCGCAGAATGGAATCCGCAGGCCCTAAGGTCGTACTCGATCGACTGAAGGAAGATTGGCAGGAGGTGACCAGTGACGGGATTGACGAAGAGGTATGTACAGGTTTTTTGGTATTGGAGATGTCCTGCTAATTTTTCTGCATCAGTTGATACTCGAAAAACAGCTCTGGCTGTTGACAGGCCTCCAGATGCAAAGTGCGAGACAAGACAATAACACTCCTATACCAAAGCTCAGCACAGGCAAGATCTTGGAGCTGTACGGAAATCTCTGTAAGTTGATGTTGTGCTATGTGCGACGCTGTTATGCAAGTTCTAATGGTTGTCATTAGCGGAGGTATACCAGTTATCAGCAATGCATCCATCCCAAATGGTGCATTTTCTCACCACAAAACCTCAGCGGCATGTGCCCTTGCCCGGAAATGTATCATACTTGCCGGTGCGCAAGTTTGGTTCGGTTCCACTGCCTTACCCGGAAGACTACTTTTCTCATATCCGAGCATCGACTCTGCCGTCTCTTGTGCCATCTTCCGAACTACCAGAGTTGTTCAGTGAATGCTACAAGCTGCTTGCCCCTGGCGGCTTCTTAGAAATCAGAGTCATGGATGCGGCCCCTGTACGCACCACAGCCGGACCACTCATGCGTGCGTGGATTGAGGACAAGCTTTCCGTCAATTTAGAGCGACTTTTCAGATGTTCCAAACCGTGTGCACTACTCCCCTCATGGCTAACAGACGCCGGCTTTGAATTGGACGATCAACACAAAGACCAGAAATTGACATTACCGTGTGTTTCTGATCCAGGATCTGCTAAAATCGATGACGAGCTTTCCACCATCATTGGTCGTGCCTTGTGGAAAGACATTTGGGGAAGCTTTGTAGAGGACTCTCTTGACGAGCCAAAGTGGTGGTGGGAAAACAAGGGGATTGTGGAAGAGTGCATGGAGCGCCAGACCGTCCTTGAGTGCAGGACGATTTTCGCATACAAGCGAGAGACAGCTCGGTGAGCACAAAGGTAATACTAACGAAAGTATGATGTGTGTGTGTGTGTGTGTGTGCTGGGAGTGGCATGGTTGGATGTTTTATTTGCGTTTGCTCTGTGTAATATAGATACCCGATCCGTTATTATGAGCTATAATTTTGAGAAAATCATGATTTGACTGCAACCATGGAGCTGTCGTCGGTACACTGGATGTAGTGAGATGTCAAACGAGACACGGCCCCACTAAAATGTCGCGTCTACTGCTACGCGCACGTGACAGCGCGACATTGCCTATTGCGTTCTTCCAAAGAACGCGTCTTGAGCTCTAAGTATGCCAACTTTGATTGCAACCTTTTCTCTCTGCAACAACAACATACTACATATGAATCTAGCCATTGGAGATTGTACAGCATTGGAGCCATGTCGTTGCATCTTGCTCTCGGGCCTCAGCCGCGACGTCCGTGCCACGTACTCTGTTTCAGCTGGATAGTGTGCAACGCGCTGTCGCTACAATACAAGATCAGCCACGGTGTCGGCATTTCCGAGCGCTCTGCATCATTCAGCCCGCCTCTTTTCGCTCAACGGTGTTGTCGCTGAGTCCTGTTTCGCGGGCTGAACACCAGTGGCTTCCAGCACGATCCCGCTACCACAAGTGCGTCACCTCATCGACCACTGGAGCGCTCCCTCACCACTCCATCCGTCCACGCCCAACTCGCCAGGCCCACTGCAAACTACCGACCTGGGCCTGGTCCTCGCCCATTTCCCCCACCACCCCTGTCGATACCTGACCTACGCTTCGATATATTGCTACCGAAAACAAACCACGTCCAACCCAGAAAAAATAATTAAATAAAAAGATGCTCAACTCTTTGGGCACCAAGCTTGCGCTACGGAAAGCCGGATTGGGAAACATCTCGCTTCCAAAGACCGACAACTTGTTTGGTGGCAATAATAGCACAGGGAGTTCGAAAAAGGGCGCTGCAGACGGAGGAGATGCGGGCTTCGCCAACCCATTTGCGAACGTACAATGGGGAGTTCCCAAAGCACTGCAATCATGGACCACACCTCCGCCGCCCCAGAACCCCGTCCGTAAGCCTCCGCAAATAGGAGACCGCGCTCAGTCGCACGCGAAATTGCAGTTTCCAGCACCAGATTCCCGACCTACGATAATTCTATTTCTACGATTCTGCGGATGTCCTTGTAAGTTTATTTTATTTCGTTGTAAATCCATGGTCCAGAAGCCTTGAAAAGCAGTAGTATATCACAATTGATATCGCCATCATCATCATTATCACCAAAAGAGAAAGAGAGAGAGAAAAAGAACGCCAAAAAAACCCCACAAGTATTCGATGCCATTAAACTACTTAAACACGATTCTAATGAAAACTTACCTACAGTCGCACAAAAACTCCTTCTCCGCCTCCGCACCCTCGCGAACCGCTACCCTTCCATCCGCTTCATCGCAATATCCCACTGCACCCCCGCCGCCACCACCGCATGGCTCTCCAAACTCGGCGGCGCCTGGAACGTCGACATCATCGTCGACCCAGAGCGCAACCTCTACGCGCTGTGGGGCCTGGGCATCTCCACCTGGGCACACGTCTTGCATCCGCGCAACGGCTACAATCAGGTGATGCTGAGGAAGAACGAAGGCGTTTGGGGGCATGAGGTAGGCGAGGGCGCGTGTAGGTGGCAGATTGGGGGTGCGTATGCGGTGGATGGGCGCGGGGTGGTTACGTGGGGGGCTCCGATGGAGTCGGTGGATGAGGAGATTCGGTTCGAGGATGGGGTTAAGACGTTGGGGTATGGGGATTCAAGGATGTAGAGAAGGGGGGAGGGGAAAGGGGATGGGTATAGAACTAGACTTTGGGGGGGTCGGGGGTTTCTTTGATTGATTCGGAAGACTGCTGCGTTGAGAGCGAGGGTTGTTACTTATCATGGTTTCGTGAAGAATTCGACAACGAAAAAAAAATCCCATTTGGGGGGAACATAGATTGGCTACTTATTCTTTATCGTTCAAACTTTCTTTCGTGATAAAAAGTGATGCCCGTAACACAACCAAATCCATGTATTCATCCACCAAGCTATATACATCACTAACTATCTATAACCTTCCCTCCCATTCCTCTTCCCCACGCGTTCAATTACACCATCCGCAATCTGCCATAATATCTAAGACAATCAATCCCACTTCTATACAAGTCTCCCCTACCCTTGCCTTCTTTTCCCATGGACAAACACATTATCTACAAACCATCATTTATCCAAATCCTCCCTCACCCCCCTCAAAAACAATCCAAAAGGAAAAAGACGTAAATTAACTCGCGATGCTCATGACGCGATATCATCATAGGTACGTATGTGTGTGTGTGTGACCGTGGGGTAGTTTCTGAGGTATCATGTCTAAAAGAAAACGAGAAAAAAAAACAAGGGAAATCGTTAAACATCATTAGCAAGAAAAAACAGAAAACAGGAAAAATCGAGCCGTGGGTAAGCAAGGCGATTTTCTCTCTCTCGCAGATGGGGGGAGGTTTCGGTCCCAGGAGTCCGGGATCAAGAAAAATGAGGGGGAAATCCCGACGGCACGGTCGTCCGCATGACCTCCCAAGGATCCGAAGAAAAAAAAACAAGAGTTGCGTACTCTATTCCTTTCTTTTTTTCTTTCTTTAGGAGGAAATCATGGTCGGTCGTCGGGACAAACTTTTTCATCTAAAAGTATCGGTCGACAATGTCGTAGCCGCTGCGAAGAGCCCACTCGACGATTTCCATGCCGCTGATACCGCTGGCATAGTACGTCTTCTTGCAACCCTGGAGGTTGTTGTATTTTTCGTAAGCGCCTGCGGCGAGGGCTTCGCTGTCGAAGTGGGGGAAGTAGTCCCACTTGCGGAAGGCTTTGACGTCTTCTTCGGTAAAAGGAGCAGGCTTGGCCGTGGCATTCCGCGGGTCCTTGTTGATTTCGGATAGGCTGTCGATGAGTAGGCGCTTGGCGGCTGCTTCGGTCTGGAATTCGTACGGACCCCAGGACCAGGCTGTGGAGACATTGGATTGTTGGCTTAGGCGCAGAATGGCGACGGGCTCGCCGTCGTTTGGTGGGGGCACGTTGGGCGACTTGCTGGCGGCGACATAGGACACGCCGAATGGAAGCTCGAGCTCTACGGCGGAAGAGTAGTACTGGTGCGTCGTGACATTGGCAAAGGTATTGTGCTCTTCCTCGGTCAGGTCAACGCCAACGCGCTGCAGGTTGTCAAGGTTTGGGGGAAAGGCAAAGATGACGGATGAGCATTCTTGCTTGTTCCAAGAGACAAAGTTTCCTTTTGGTACCGTGTAGGTCAAGACTGGGTTGGGTCCCGATCGGTCTACGCAACGGACATCGGCAGACGTGTAGATGGGTGTCTCGCAAAGCTCCTTTTTGGTATACTCGGCAAACATTTTGTGAAAATCCATGTAGTACACATTGCGAATGCCTGCAAAGGCTGTGATAATGTCAGGCGTGAAGTACTTTAGGATGTAGAGCTAGTCAGATGTTAGCGCGTTCTGCATGCGCGATCCCTGCAAAAATGTTGGCGGGCCATGACGTACTGCTGGGACAATGTTGATATCTCCATAACCATAGAGCGCGACTGCATTGACAAGCAGAAGAGGGAGCGCAGTGAAGTTGTTCTGGCGAAACCACTCTGCGCCAGACAAGGTAAATTCGTGTGGGACACCGTCCTGTTCCTGCATTAGCCTAGTGGATTTTTGCGTATGACAGGGGGAAGCTGTACCCTGTAGTTGAGAACACTGGCGGGTCGGAAGCGCTCATTCCACAGTACAACGTATCTCGGGATCTCTGCAGCGACCGTGGCAGCGAATTGCGCGGACAAAGCAGGGGAGGGCAGGATGTCGCCGCTTGTAAAGTTGTAGATGTACTGGCTGCGCGCGCCGGCCAGCGAAAAGGGCTCAATGGCAACATCGGTCTTGTTTAGTATGCCGACGGTCTCGGTGTAAGTGCCATTGGAGAAGAAGGCAGCGCCGAGAGGGTGGAAGATGCCTCTGGATGGGCGGTTAGTCGCGTCTGAGGATGACGACGCTGGACAAGACTTACTTTTCATCATACCACGACTGGCATTTGCCGCCGACCTTTTCTTGTCTGTCGAAAACAACAGCGCTGATGCCCTTGTCTTTCAGCCTACCAGCGGCGGCCAAGCCGGCCGGGCCTGCGCCAATGATGCATACTGGTTTTTTGTGATGATGAGAGTCGCCGGTTGGGGCAGAGAGGACCAGCGAAGGAAGCGCGATCAAGGATACGAGGAGCGACCACATGGCAGAGAGAGAGTCGACGGTGGGTTGGACGCAAGGGGACAATTGGGGGAGGGCATGAGAAAGGATGGGGCACCAGTACCTGCAGCTTACATATAGCAGTGGTGCTGAGTGCGGAGGCTTGCGTAGTTTGGTTTCCTTTTCGGATGTTCAGTGCCCTGTAGGGCCAGGCGCTGCGCGGTGCGTTGGCATTAGACGGGATACAGGCAGGCTAGGACAGGGCCTCGCTGCCACCTCTGACGCCAACTCTGGATTTGCAGCCATGGTCAGGCTGGAGCGAGCATTTGCGAGGTAACTTTTGCAGTGGTAAACGGTCGTGCGCAGAAGCATTGGGCGCCTCCTGTGACGTTTGGGACGAGGGTCTGCTACGCGGGAGGAGGTCGGTATGGATGTTTTTTTTGTTTTTTTCCCGCAAGCCCCGGCCTGGTCGCAGTCTGGGACAACGGCGGCCCAAGACAGCGATATTCCTGCAGCGCCGCAATGGGACGCGCTGGCGGACTGGCGGACGAGCGTGTCTTCTAGGGTTGAAGGCAGGCTTCGCAGCAGGTTCTGGAAGCGGTGAAGGAAGAGGTGTAGGCACATGTCATGGTGCAGCAGCCATGCGGTACGCGAGTCGGGAAATGGAGCCAGGGCATCTGTCGCCATTCAGCATTCAGCCCTGTCGCTACTAGCCCCCCCGCCAACGTTTGACCTCCAGCCGCCCATCTCGCCGGGACTGGTTCCCGCCTCTTCAACAAGCCTTGTTCAAAAGCCCGACAGCACTGCATCTTTACGCCCACCGCCAGGCCGCTCGCTACTGCAGACACGTCGCGTGTGTACACACACACGCCTCTGGCCTGATGCTGGCCTCTCTTGCACTGCCCGCGCCGGATTGGGCACGCCGCGTCGAGACAGACGTCATCTCCCGTCGGCGACTAAGCCTGCGTTGGTTATGCCGCGAGATTGACACCTCACACTGCCAGCCTTGCCGTGACAATCCGTCCAGGCATCATGACGGCGGAAATTGCGCCCGCTGCCAAAACTCCATGCGCATGCGTGCTGTGGAGAAGCGAGATGGGCTGACATCATGTTCCATGTCCACGGACCAATCCACCGCTGAAACATAAATAGATATGCTCAGGGTCTTGCTTCAAAGCTAAAGTCCACGAAAAGAAAGAGGGCGTCGCACCATGGTCCAACCCGGCTACCACGGCATGACGGCACCTCGCCTCAATAACATGTCCACGCATGTTCGCATCATGCCCGTCCGAACCTGGAGCAATCAAGTCAGTCTGTAGCATATAGGCTGTCAATCGAGACGAGTACGTATGCCCTATGCAGGTTAAGTCTGAACTCTCAAGGGGGGTGTCTGGTAGCCAACCGCACCTTCGTTCTCAGCCTGTCGGCTATCTCCTGCCTCGTGTTCAATAATACCAAAGCTGCGACTGGTCTACAACTCAACAGGAAACGGAACGCGAGACGAGTGTGGGAAACAAAGAGGCCGTTGCCCTGATGGGCTGACGTGATGGCATTGCATGCTATCGTAGTACTAACCGCCTCGCTAAGAGACGCGAAAAGAAGAGACTGGCATCGTGATGCGCAGTTGACCGCCCAGAGAACAAGGACAAGAGAGGAAAGGAAAGAAAAGAAAAGTCGAGTCCGAGAGAGCCGCCCAGTCTTGGTTTTTCCAAGTGAGGATATTGGTGGTAAGAAAAATACAAATGAAAATGAAAGTCGAGGGTACGAGTGGCCCACCAGGAAAACCCCTAGCTCAACGGCACCCCAACGCCACACGCTCAACGTATGCGAATATTAAATAAAGGTAATGTGCACTGCGCCTCGCGATCAGTACATGTAGGCTTTTTGTTGCTCTATATCAATCTCGAACCGACTTTTGTCTGTGTCGCCACTCATCGGCCGCTCCGAGAAGGTGCTGTGGTGGGCTGGGTGTGTGCTAATAGCAAGCCCAGGCTGCGAGTCGTTGTTCTCGGTCAGCCTGCGTGTGTCCAGCTCGACCTGGTCGATGACAGGTGTAATCTTCTCCTTCTTTTTGCTGTACTGCGACCCGCTTGCATATCTTGAACCCTGTTGTCTCGCTCGATGGGGGAAGAGCAGGGGCTTGAGTGCCGGGATGCATCCGCAAATAACACCGACGTTTGTTTCAATGGCCGTCCATACCCAGATCTGGTATCCTTCCCAGGTTGCATCGTATGTTCTGAACAGTGTGTAGTGGACCCAGTACGCTCGGAAGCTGCTGGCAACAACAATAAGACCGCCAACGGAAAAGAGAACGACCAGTCCGAGGCGTTGACTCCATGGAAGTGAGAGTGAGAAGAGAGTCGGGATCGGTAGTGCGTAGATCATAAAGTCCGTTACGACGTTGAGGACACTTTGTACGACAAGCGGGGGCCCCTCGGGAATACAGTCACGATGGTCAGAATTCAGCTTCCAATAGCTTGAGATTGGGCTGTAGTTGTCAGTACCAGAATGACTGTTTGCTTTGGAAATAACTCACATGCACTGTACCCACAGGGCAACTAGGAAGACGACGAAAGCGGCAAAGACGAGAGCAAATGTCGCCCACACCAATTTGCGAAAAATGGACTTTTCGGGTGCGATGCGAAAGTACGATACCAGAATCGACATCTTAATAGTCGATGATGCAAGCACAAACAATGTTTGACCTGCCATGGACGCCTGTGGAGGTTAGCATCAGCTTATCGTGCCACGAGCTAACCCATGGTCGTACCTGTCTGCCAACCATCATCTCATGTGGCTTCAGGTCCCAGGCATGACGGTCCCAACCATACAGCTGAGACGCCATGATGACAATGACAGTAGTGCCTGTATGATGAGTCAGTCATGATGGGGCTTGATGCGAGCTGGTGGGGGGGGGAAGGAACGCACCAATGCTGAAGATCATGGCAACAATCATGAGATAGTCGTCATACCAGCTCTTCTTCAACCATGATATCCGTACCCAGAGCCTGAGGAAGACGACTGTCATGGCAATGGGAAGCAGAGTCAACTCGACAATCATCAAGGCCGGGCCTCTAGTGACGGGGTCGATGTAGTTGGGCTTGGGCCAGGTCTTCAGGACCTCTGGCGGGGGGGACCTCATTGTGTGCAGCAAAGCAAAGCTTCAAACAAGGTAGATGGACTTCAGATGGATAATAGGTCAGACTGAGGAACGAGCGTCATCAGCGTCCAAGATGCACGGGACTGGGAATGGACAGGAATATAACCCTCCTCGAGGGCGACAAAAGGGACTCGGGCCAGTCTGTTCGAGCTGCGCCGTGCACATCGGCTCGCGTCCATGTGGAACTCGCCTTCACTGGGGGGCATGGTACGCGGATACACAGAAAAACTTCGCATTCGCTGCATAGGCTGCACTATTGGTAGGCGTCAACGGCAGCTCCGTTGCGGGTGCTTGGACTGGTGTCGGATTGGCCCGCAGGGGTCCCGGTACCCTCAACACAGCCTTCAAGGGCAGCGCGCACCGTGACTTGCTGGTACTTTAGACTACTGTGGAGAAGCGAGCAAGTAGACGCAAGCTGAGGGTGGAGTGGCCCAGTCTGGGTCCAGGCATCGTGTTGCTGCGGTCCATCAGTGGCTGAGTCCAACTATGAGTCTGTAGCCAATCGCCACTAGAAGCCGGGGGTACCTGCAAAGTACCTGGGCCTAAGCGTCTGTGCTCGTTGCCGTTGTACGACTTGATTTGGACACCTCGATATAAGCCGATACTTTGGGTGACTGGCGGCGTCCTCTAGACTGCCGCTTTGCACCAAGCCCGCGTCGCTCGTTGAGTGTCTGCCCTCGCCCAGCACGCGCCTGTCGCGTGTCGTCGTTGAGAGTGCAAAGGGTCTCGCTTTGCCTCGTTGCCCGTTGTGGCAAAGCGTCTTTCGGATCGGCCGCCGACATGCAAGGGCCATCCCAGGCTCTCGCCTGTACGCCAGCGAATAACCTCACCGCATCCCATCAATGTGTGACGACCCCATTCCTACACGCGCTCGAATGCGGAATGCAGAATCTGGACATCGCCAATTTCCCGTATCCGCTCTCTCGTCGCTCAGCTTATTTAGAAATCTCTCCTCCAGCTCCAGCCCAACAGCAGCTACTCGCCTGGGCACCTCAACTGCTTGGCTCCCGTCCTGGTACTCGGTACCACTTGGCCCTTCTGACAGCTGTCATGCCATTCCATTATAGCCCATGAAGAAATAACAGGTGGCGATTTGAACGCGGCTTTGCCTTCAGGTCGACGGCAATTGCTGGAATCGTTATGCGCGCTATTCCCTCTCAGGTAACTGTCAAAGCCTGGGTATGCCTACTCGGACGCATCGGATGGGCTACCCACTCCCGCCACGGGATGCAAGTAAGCTACCATCACACACAACCAAAGTGGTTGAACAAAAACCCTGGTCCTAGTGCCCATCCGTCCCAACGTCCCATGCTCCTCCCTGTCTCTTTCACTCCACCTATGCCGTCCCCGCGGCCCATCTTGTCCTGTCCCTTGGGACCGATGACCGCGTCAGCCAGCCGTTACCCACTTGACCCGTTGGAAGCCTACTGATCCTTCATGACAGGTGGTCCATCTCTCCCAATGACCTGCATGCACGCATCGTGTTCGCATCGGGATCATCGTTGCAGTGGTTGTGAGAGAGTGTTTTTTTTTCAGCCCTCAATAGTCTGCTACCAACTCTCACCACTAGCAATAATAACAACAACTGTACAAAATCTTCTCCTATCTCAGTTAGCACTTCATCTACTCAGACAACTGAGATTTGGATAGACAGCTTGGCCCACTATTTTCAGCTACTATGATGAAGCTCCTCTTCCCCAATTGGCTTTTGATAACAGATCTCCTTGGACGCCCTCCACACTTCCAGACCTTTCCGTACCCCCTTTTTACCTCTCGGCGTATTTTTGACTGTTCGAGGGCATGGGTTCACTACCAAATGTCAAAGCTGATCGAGATTGCAGACACGAACTATATTACATTTTCCGTCTAGTCATCCATATCAGAGCGTCAATGGACGGCACAGCTTTCAATTGTCTAGCCACAAAACGCCATCAACACCGTTCAGGACTATCTAAGTCCCAGAAAAGCATTTCCAGTTCATTTCGAACAAAACAGGCACAAGTGATGATCTCTCGACCTTACTGGCCCCCGATCACCACACCACTTCTCCCGATCGCACTACCGTCTTTCATCAGGTAACCTAAAATAAACACTACACTAAACCCACATCTCTCAACTCAGACCACAAAAGTATCAAAGCACATCACCATCGGCACTACATTCGGCCCAAACACCCAACTACCGACATGACCCAAAAACACCCTTTGGGTCCCGCACGTACCCTCCACGCGAGGCTGACCCATCCATCCCGCCTTCCCCTACGGCCACCTCTCAGGCCCTACCTTGCAGCGAATCGCCACTCATTTCAAACAACTCACAGGCATCTCGTCACGAAACAAATTTGTGGGGAGCTGGCCCTGTGGTTAAATCCCAGAACGCCACTGACAGAATGCACAATCGCTGACGCTCCAATCACAAGACAAAGTCTGCAAGGCCAGCCTTGCAGACCTCGCCGACATCGCATGCATATGTCGGCTCATTATAGCGTGATGTGGGAAAGTTGATGGGCTGGGTTTTCTTACTAACACTTCCTTTCTATCGAATCATGTGTCTTTGTTTGGGCTTTGTTACTCTGCAACAACCACCTTGGCTTGGCTTGAAGGATCTCGCTTCCATGTGTGCAGACTTGGTGAGGCTATGAGGGGGGGGACGGGGTTGTGCAGCAACGTCATTGTGTTTATGTGTTTTCGTATCTGAAATATGCAGGAGAAGAAAAAAAAAGGGATGGATGAAGAGATTTAGGAGGTTTTGATTTTAAGAAATTTGCCCTTTTTTCACTTGCTGGTAGGGCTTCTGGCATCACCAAGTTGTTGTAGCTCGTCCAGATTTATCTGGGGAAAAAAAAAGCCTCACTGACGAAGTCTTCGTTGATCAAAAAGCCTTGGTTGCATTGAAAGACTCGTTCTTCCAATGTACTCGTGCTGAAGCTCTTTGGCCTCTCCTTCCCCCTTTCTTCGCAGTACACACATTAGTATGGCGTCGAACAAACCTAACATTCTCACTAACTATCCAACAAACGATCTTAGAAAGTCAACCCACCACCCCTCCTCCTCTAAAAAGCACAAGCCAAAGAACCCTTAACCCCTCCCTTTTATCAAATCCGCCGCCTTCTCCGCAACCGCATACATAGTGGCCTGCAAATGGGCCGCAGGAATCATGGGCAAAATACTCGCATCCACAACACTCAACCCCTGCACTCCATACACCAACAACTCATCGCTAACACAACCCCCCAACGCCTCCGGCATCATACTGCACCCGCCGCTCGGATGCGCAAACGACGGTTGCAGCGACCCTGACCTTAGACTTCCCTGGATAATCTCCTCGTCGCTCTGATACTGCGCCCCCGGGCTGGTTTCCACGGGGCTGTAGCGAGAAAGTGCGAGTGAGGATGCCCAGTGAGCACGGTTGAATCGCGTGAGCGCCACCATGACGTCTGCGTCGATGGGGTTTTGGAAGGTGTTCCATTGGACGATGGGGTAGGCAGCGGGATGCGTGGTGTTTAGTGTAATGGTGCCGCGAGAGAGGGGTTTGTTGTTTGCGATGCCGGAGAGGCCGCCGGGCTGGATTACGATTTCGCCGACGGCGGCGGTGGTGCGGGAGAATTGCGTGGCGAGGATGGCGCGTTGGGCGGTGAAGCCGGCGAGGAGTTGGGCGTTGGTGGAGTAGCGTTCTGGGAGGAAGTGTGTAGCTGTTTGAGAATGGAGTTTTGAGACTGTGGCGTTGAAGGATGGGGAGAAGTGTTGGAGGGCGAGGAAGATGAGGCCGTTGGATTTGCCGGTGGAATAGGGACCAGTGCGTGACTTTGAATACTCGGCGTATGCTGTTTGGTTGAAAGTCGCGTTGGTGCTGAGGGCACCCATGTTCTCTGTGTCTAGGTTTTGCAGATCGAAATTCATGTAGTTGGCAATATGGTCTTGGAAATTGGAGCCAACTGCTGGGAGGTCCTGTTGATGTGCAAATGTCAGGGCCGAAGCATACAGGATCTGGTTTTTCTAGCTTACCTTCTTGACAGTAACACCTGCGGCCTCAAGTACATCTTTGGGTCCAATACCAGAGTACATGAGCAGGTGTGGTGTAAACACACCTCCAGCGGCGAGAATGACTTCTTTTGCTGCGAAGACTTGAGTCTGCTCGTTACTACTCTTTGGCGTATATTTGACTCCAGTCGCTCTCAAGACACCAGCCTTGTCCTTTGAGAAAGTGATCTCGTCAACATGCGTTTCCGTCAATAGCTTGAGATTCTTACGCGACACGACGGGATCATAGTACGCTGTGCGTGCGGTAGAACGCATAGCAGTGGCTTTGTCAATCGAGTTTGGCGACCAATAATGACCAACAGGCTCCGAGAAACCTTCTTGCGGATGAGGAATATCAACATTATCCCAAGAGTGATATATGGTCTTCATATCAGGAAACTGGTAGTCCGGAATAGAAACCTTGAGCGGGCCACTTCCGTAGGCCTTCACATCATACTCGATGCCGAATTCCTCGGTAGTCTCATTTGATGGTGCGTCGAAGTGATTGCTTTTCATAAAGTACGGTTTCAGACCCTGCCAGTCCCAGCCTTTGTTTCCCAGCTCCGCCCAAGCATCGTAGTCGGCATCGGCACCGCGATCGAATTGCATGCCGTTTACGAATGAGCCGCCACCAACGACGTTACCGACAGTTACCAGAAATGTCTGATTACCGAGGGCTGGGACTGGAGCGCTATAGATGTCGTACATGGCTGCGAGGTTCAAGCCACCTGAATTTCCGGGGATGCTGGAGAGGGTGCTGTTGCTGAGAGCGCCATTTTCGATGACCAAGACTGTCTCTGTAGGTGGAATGTTCAATATTGATGTTTACGAGACGATGTTGTGACGGATAGCGACTTACTGTTTTGATCTTCACTCAACCTGTTTGCAATGACTAGGCCTGTTGTACCACCTCCAGCAATGACATAATCATACGTGGTTTCGTTCGTGATAGCTGCTGATACAGCCAGCCCAAATAGCAAGAGAGTCACGAAAGAACGCATTTCAAGCCGAATAATTGGATCTTTCGCCCAAGAGGATCGAGCTGCCAATGCGGCTGGGCGCCAGTAAAGATTAATGCCTTAAAGCTACGAGAAAATTTATCTGGTAAAGAGGCTATAAATTAATTGTGGAAAGATATTTAGGATTGCCACAGAAGTTTGACACTCAATGCAACTGCGGTACTCGCCAGACTGATTCTGGGCTGTGGCGTGTGCTGTATCTTTACCATCGGTGCGTTGCCTCCGACGATGATGTCCATTTTGATTGAAGGGTTGATCTGATACTAGTCATGGCCACTGTGACCATGAAAAGTTGTAAAAGGAGGGTCTGAGAACTAGCGGCTTTGATGATACTTGACAAGGGTCCGCGGATGGCTTGCAACTGCCGTTTCCGCAACCGTTCCCGTGTCTAGACAGAAACGGAAGCTACCAGTGGGGAACGTCTGGTTCGTGAGATTGTATCGACCACCAACTTTTGCTCAGGTATTCTCGATCACAATGACAAAAATCTCTATGCACTGTGCCAATCTAATTTGACGCAGGATGCCGCAACCACTGAGAATGCTTGCTAGCCTTTCTGGCTAAAGAGTCTCATTCACCTTCCAAGGATGCAACTCGCCACAACATGAAGGATTCGAACAGCGTTACTTCGCTTGGATGCTGCGGGTGGCACAGCCAGTCGACTATGCCGGATGGGGGCAGCGCGTGGGGACTGCTTCAACTTGCAACAGTACCCCTGTTCATCCGGGTATGGGTGCAATCACGTGTTCCCGATATTCCGTATTGATGATATCTCCTAACCAGATACTCATTGATGTTGATGTACTCAAATGGCCTCTTATAAGTCAGTATGAGTGGATATTATGTCAACGCTGTTACTTTATTCGCTGTTAAAAGCCTATCATCACAACACGTTGAAATCCCGGCTTCGGTAACAGTGAGTAGTCCTATCATAACTTTACATTTGTCCCCACCCTTGACACCAGGTCGAATAAAAACACCTCGCACCTCCGCGGAAGTTAAGTATACACAGGGATCTGATTAAACCTCGCAAGAAAAACTATCGCCCAAAGAAATCGCATGATTTAACCTTTCAACTCTAGACCATCACGCCTTACATAATTTCTGCAAAGACTGGAATCTGTCAGAAGACGATTTGGATTCGGCAATTGTAATGGGAGGCTCAGCGGAGCGTTTTGAAGGAAGTGGCGTGGCTCGCATGCTCCACCAACCATACATGTCCAGCAGCGAGGGCAGTACTGAAGCCGCTTGTGATTGATTCTGTAACGGCTTGCCATTTGACAGCATTCAACTTCACGTCCAACATTAACCAATATAGGCTGTTCCAATCAAGAAATCCCCCACCTATAATCCCACGCCCTATGTATTTAGATCAACGTTGATACGCATTCTTATTCAAAGAGTGGCATCCTCCTCACAGAAACACTTGCACGTTTCAAGCCCTCAATCAGTCTTTACTCGTCATTCACCTTTTTCGATCTCCTAGAATGGTTAAATCATCACCTCCCGAAGAATGGTCAAACCGAGGAAACGAACTTATTGCCACCGCATCCATAATGGCCACTCTGTGTACTCTGGTGACGGCATTGCGACTTGCAGTTCGCCTAAGAATCAACAAACACCTTGGGCTTAGCGACTGGCTCATGGTAGGAGGCGTGGTATGTCTATTCGGTCACCTCGGTATTACCAGGCTGATTTGTCCATCCAGATCCTAAATTTTCTGGGTTGCTTGCCTTACGCAGTGCTCGCAGCAAAAGGCGGCCAAGGCCGTCTAATGGCAGATCCATGGTGGCTTGAACCAGGACGTACATCGCACGAACTACATATGATCTTCATTACGCAGTGTCTCAACGTCTACGCAATGTTTCTTGTTAAAGCCTCTATTTGCGCCTACTTGATGGCATTGGATTTTGGACGCAGCTATCGCGTCCTCATCTGGACATCTGTTGTTATCGTGGTGTTTTGCAACTTTGTCATGATGTTGATACTGCACTTTGCGTACTGTCGGCCTTACTACTCACGGTGGGATTTCAGTGTCAAGGGGGAGTGTTGGCCTGAAGCAGTCAGTGATGCAACGGCTTACGTGCAGATTGCATCCAACATCGTTACCGATTTAGTGAGTAGAATACATATGTACTTCATGATTGAGTCTAACGACTGTTAGATCTACACTGCTGCACCTATCGTGTATTTAAGACATATCCAGCTCAGCAAGCAGACGCAATGGGGCGTCCGAATCGTTTTTCTACTGGCACTGGTGTAAGTACCCAATAAAAACCAATGCACAACGCGCAAGCTCACAAATTACGCCAGTGGCACCGGGCTTTCCGTTGCCAAAATCCCCATCACCGCCAAGTTTCTCAAGTCACAAGAGATGATGCGGGATGCCATTGATCTAAGTATCTGCAGCATTAACGAGGTCTGCGTCGGCATCGTCGTCGCAAATCTTCCTCCTCTGCGGAATACAATCCTAAGTCTATTCTCGAAAATCATCCCAGCAAGCTTTGCAACGGCCATTGGGGTTTCACAAAAACCCACCAGCCATTTTGATATGGTCTCTTCGCACTATACTTCTAAGGGCCACACAAAGCTCCAAGATGGTGATGACGACGAAAGCGAACGCTGCATACTGGAGTTGGGAGAGAGACACCGAAATTGGAGCATTATGAAGACCACTCAAGTCGATGTTCGCAACGAAGATGCAAAATCCTGCCAAATAAGTCCTACCCAAACACCTTTTTAGGTCAATAACAAAAAAAAACAATGTCATTATAACATGGCAAAGCAAACGTGTCGAACAGAAAAAAAATCTCATTATTCGAAAATCGAACCTTCATTAAAATCATCACCCAGTCTGACCAGAAAACGCCCTGAAATGCCTTCTTCAACAACACCAGCTTCACCCCTCACAAAAGCGCACTACTCAGCGCCGAAACAATCACCATCCCCAGCATCCCCAACCCAACCTTACTAACGCCAACCGCCGGGGCCGCCCCTTTGGAATCCCCCGTCGCACTCGCCCCACTCCCCGACGTGCGACTCGCACCAGCAGTCTTACTCGGGGTCCCCGTCGCCGTGGCACTATTATTCGAATTGCACATGATATCGCCTGGGTGCGCCCCATTCTCCATGAAGCACGTTTGCAGCTCGCGAATCGTCTGCTGGACGCTCAGACAGTAGTATCCGCAGGCGCCGTTGAATTCCTCGACAGGCGCGGATTTGCAGCATTTGGAGAGGATGTCGGTGGTGTTGGAGGGCACGCCGCTGATGCTGCCGACGGCGCAGGCGGCATCCTCAGTCGGGAACTGGGTAAAGTCTGCTTGCCTGCAGACTGCGCTGGTGCTGGCGCTCGGGGCGCTGGATGTGGCGGAGGGTGTAACGGACATTTTTTTTTTGCAGCTAGGATTTCTAAGGGTGGTGTTAGTATCTTGCTGGGTATCTAAAAGGTACGGTGTGGCAGAACAAGACGTACAAGTTGTGTAGAGGGTGTATATGAGCGAGTGAATGGTGTGGTATATAGAACTAGGTGGTTGGGTGATTGTTGTACTACTGGGAATTTATAAGGGTCGGTGAAGAAGCAAACAATCAGGGACAGCCGGACGGTGAAGAAATATCCACAGAAAATACGATCATCTTATGACATTGGCCCACGTCACCTGAACCATTCCACCGACATCCATTAGCTGTCCAGCATTCGGGCGCAGCTGGTGATCTGAGGCTGGGAGGTGGCTTGTGAGTGGCTGGAACCCCACAGGGCTGCTTAGGGGCTCCGCATTGCCGGTTATTTTTGGCAGCTTATGACGGGTTGCCCGGCTAGAGGGCTTTTCTCCTCAATGCAAGACCAGCTAACGCTGGGCAAAAAGTAGGCATTTACGAGACTCGGTGATAGATATAATGGAGCTGCCGTCTTCGTGTAGATCGGTGGGTGACACATGGCGAGGCTCGACGATAGTACTAGCAACTTGCTTGGTGAGCGGGGAAGGCAGCTTGGCAGAAACGCAACATCACAAATCATGTCGGCAAAACCTATCCGGCTTGGAGTATGAAAAAAAAAGAAGTTTTCTTGAAACTATATATAGTATTTACAAGGTGAAGGAGTATTTACAGTGGCATAAAACGGGTCTAAATCTACAACTTGGCCTTCTCAGCCTCAGTCGCAGCGTACATGAAAGCACCAGCACCCTTGCCATCATTGATCAGCGTCTCGACGCCAGTGTAGTATTCGTACGAGGCATCGCCCTTCAAGCTTCCAACTGTCACGGTACCCGTGAAGCTCAGTGTGCCGTTCTTCTCGAACTGGATGAAATCACTAAGCAAGAGTTTCCAGGCCTTGGTAGCCGGCTGCTTGTACTCGTTGCCCAAGAGTCCCAGCCTCATTCCCTTCAAGTATGAGTAAGTGAACATGGCAGTTGCACTCGACTCAATGTAGTTGCCCTCCCTTCCAGCAAGCTCAGGGTCCATAAGGAGGTACCATCCACCCTTGGCGTCCTGGACATTCTTGATGCCAGAGGCGAGCGTCTTGTAGTAGTTGAGGAGCTTGGCGTAGCCGGCGTGGGTCTTGGGCCAGACCTCTAGGACTTCGACAAGCGCGACAAAGTACCATCCCAGAGCACGGTCCCATACGTAAGGGGAAGCACCTGTCTCGGGGTTTGCCCAGACAGTTGACTTATCTTCGCTGTAGCCATGGTAGAGAAGGTTCGTGGTTGAGTTGCGGCAGTGCTCCTCGATGAGATCGAATTGCAGCTCAATATCGTTCCACGCGGTTATGTTTTGAGGTTCAAAGTAAGATGTGTAGGTTGCGTAAAAAGTGTCAGCCATGTAGATGCCGTCTAGCCACATCTGGTTTGCGTAGACAGGAGCACGGTGCCAGAATCCTCCTTCGGGAGTACGAGGCCATCGGTTGAGCTGCTCACGAAGACCCTTGGCTGCGATGACGTATTTGTTGTCTTTGCGGCCTTCCGAGTTCCAAAAGTAGAGCATGTTGTTTCCAATACGGATGTCGTCCAGAGTGTAGAATGTTGAGTTCCAGCCCTTGAGAGTACCATCAGCCGAGACGATGGAAGACACGGCGTCAGAGGCATATTTAAGGAGGGCGCGGTCGTTTTGTGTGGTGGCGGCCTTTTGAATGCCTTCGTGAATGACTGCAGCGACGTAGTGGTTGTCAATGTTTTGGCTCTTCGACAAGAAAGACGAAGCCATCCATGTAGACCATGGCTTGCTCAGATTGGGGCCAGCAGTCGTACTGCCACCCAGTAACAAGGAGGTCAAAGCTGGGAGATGCATGGTGATGAGCCGGTATATCTTATTAGACAAAGATTATAGAATGGAGCCACGGATTTGGAAGCAAGAGGGAAACCCGTGGGTACTGGGACTAGTTCTGAGCCATCATTTCCTTATATACGGCACCCCTTGATATCGTAGTAGTTGCTCCCTTTGCTTGGAATTCCGGCACTAGCGCAGCCATCATGAAATTAATCTATGCGGGTCCCGCCTAACGTGCCAAGGTGAACGGACATCCCCATCACAGTTATTTCACCCCCCAATCAGATGGGGGCACTCTCTAGCGTGACACTATGTATAGCTAGATAGGATAGATCTGTAATGTTATACCTAATCTACCTAGCGCTGTAATTTAACCCTTCGTTCCATTCTCTGCTCTTCTTCTTCGATCTCACAAGTCTCCCAATTCCCGTCTCTCTTCCTTTTCTTTCTTCTTTCTTCTTATCCCTACACTTCTATCTTAAAAGCTAAAGGAAGAGAAGTGAAAGGAAAGAGACAATGGAGAGGGGAACAAAGGAGAGAGGTAGCGGTCGAGGTGAAGAGAAGCGAATCTTCCCTTTTTTTTCTCTTTTGCCTTACTCATGTCAAATAAGACAAACATAGTTAGAAACTACACTAAGCATGGGGACCTTGCTCTCTGGTGGGGGCCAAGCAACTGTTATGGATGTTCGTTCACCTTTGCCGCTCAACGGTGGCACAGCTTTGATCCTTCTATCTGAATGGGCCACTGAAGAAGCCGAGCGAAGAGCTTTGTCCATGGTGGGCGGAACCAGCAAGGTATGGGTGGGGGTCGTCTCTTGGCAGCGGAGAAATTGGTGATTGGAAAAGTTTTTTGTGGAGACGGCCCGGAAACAACTTCTTTCGACCACCCGAGAGCCGAGAACACGCTGGCTGACACAAGGTGTTGTTACCGCATTTGTATCGATGCATTGTAGGGATTGTGGTGTGAGAAAGTATTGATGGTGGCTGTTGTAGAGTGCTGTTTGGAATCAGGAGAACGGTGCAGGAAGGGGTTCGTGAGAGGACAGCAAATTAATGCGCCTGGCGCTAGTGTTATCAAGCTTACCAAGATCGAGGCCATATTCCTTGAACAGCCTTAACTTTGCCGTAGTTCATGACAGCTACTACATGCTCGAGCGTTGCGCCATGGCCAGTAATTTGAATGGCCATACTCAGGGTTCCCCGATCTTTGGGTAATAAATGTGGTAATATATGAAAGCATCAGTAATCCGGACCCCAGCTCACGCCTCTACGGCCGTCGGTGGCATCTTCGCCCTTCTGGTATACATACAGAAAACCCAATACTTACCACATGCTGACAGAACACCGATGGCTATGCATGAGAATCTCGGAGATATTGAGATAAACAGGAGGTGCCAGCCAAGACGGGAGACGAGTCAGGGGCGCGCCGAGTAAACGCCTTCCGACAGAATGCCGTAAAGCCGTTTCTGAACCCTCACGTCTCTCAGGACAGCCTGCTGCTAGTTAGGGATGAAATGATAAACACCAGCAAGTAGTCTACGAGGTGGAGTGTGTAATAGTAAGCGTCAGCGACTTTCAGGATGCCAAGGCGCTAGACCAAAATGGCAGGTACTCATAAAGTATATCTTCACGTGTAGATTACCCGAGTGTGAGATTGAAACTTCATCTGGATAGCAACAAAAATGACCAGGATAACTACCCAGTTCTCCATACAGTAGCTTGGTAAACAGCAAACATCCTCGTTCCCTCCACCATGCAAACTCGAAACAACCCTACATGAAAGTAGCATCATGCATCACCCACTGACCCAACTTGCGTACTCCTAGCAACACACCATACTGACCACTTCCCCCAGAAGAAAGAACATAGCTTTGAACATCCCTATCCATTCATCTCCTACACCTCCAGTCCCACTAAACAGGCAAACTCGCACACCAAAACTCCGTCTTACACACCGTCGTCTCTTCGCCTAAAATCCCCCCCACAAACCTAAATGTCGCCTCCCCATCTCTAAAGCACGCATACTCCTCTTTTCCCCCTGCTACCGCGCTAGTCTGTAACGTCGCATACCCCGCAAGTTCGCTTTTCGGAAGCGCATCCGCGCCTCGCTCGATCCTGCTTTCGAACACGCCGACGCCGTCGAGCGTAACGCGGCGTGTGAAGCCGGCCCATTGGATGGCGCTGGCGGAGGCGACGGTGCCGATGGCGGTGGGGTTGGTGGTAGACGGGGTGCCGGCGTAGAGGATTGCGGAGGAGGAGGTTTCGTCGGTGAGGATGGAGCGCGTGGTGCAGGTTGTGAGGAAAATGTTGTTCTTTGAGCTGAAGGGGGTGGGGTTTGGGAGGGGGATGCTGAGGGCTAGGATTGCGTAGGATAGAGTGAGTAAACCACTGTGCGGAGCGAGGAGGTGCATTTTGGCTGCGGCTGCTGCTGTGATGTGGAGACTGAGTTGGCTTGCTGTGGGTATTCACTCTTCGATTCGACCAGGGTAGAGTGATGAGTGATATTTTCGATTTGATTATTGACCCTCAGTACCGCTGTGCGAACGTTATGATACAATTGCAAGCTGGAAAACAAGTCTTATTTCAACTTCTCACCATTCTCAGATCCCAATCTCTCACACTCCCAATCCACCTCTCACCCAACCAACCCTCCCAAAATTAGCAACATACCCGCATGTACTTCATCTATCCCAAATAGCCTACAGACTTACATACGATACCCGTTTGTTGAGAAAACCCGGAAAGTAACCAGCTGCATTGGGGGCCTTTGCCGCATACATATAGCCAGATGGCTATTGCATAGAATACGATGGAATGGTGCATATACAGCCTTTTATGTACCCAGTGATGTGGTACGGCTGTTGTTCGTAGAACATCCGATATCTCGCCGATATCTCGGTAAGCTTATATTAAGCTCATATTAAGATCTTACATCAGAGATGTATATTATGATCCGGCCGGGGCTACTTCAGCCGGCGGCTCGAATCCAGATATGAGAATATTGGTGCCTGCTATAGCCGCATTGGCTGCGGGCAGTTGTAGTCTAGAAGCCATTCATTCCAGGGGAACCATCAGGAGAATGGTGACATGAAGTAATTCAAAGTGCAATGGTATTTTTTGAAAGAATTACTATAGAAACACAACACAACAACCTTAGTTCAGCAAGCCAGCAGCGAGCGCCTCCATATCCTCCAACGTCTCGAGCTCCTCGACTCTGTGCGCAGCCTTTGCCTTCTTCCTCTTCTTCGCAACCTTTTCCTCGTCTTCAGAATCAGACTGGAACCACTTCTTCTGCTTCTTGAGCGGCTCCTCTTGTTGCTCCTCTTCTGACATATCATTATCGTCATCACTATACTCTGCATCTGCCCTGAAGTTCGCCAAGAGGTCTTCGCCGGGATCTGGAAGTACAACGCCTGCATCACTTGCATCTTCGTCGGCATTGGCCATCTCAGCCCTTTCCCTCTCTTTTCGTTTCCGCAACTTTTCTTTCCTCTTTGCCTTGGCGGTCGCTTTGTCTTCGATATCGGCATTTTGAACTTCTTCACGTGCGGCTTCGATGAACTTCTGTCGTTGCTCTTCAGGCAAGCCCTTGGCGCGGAATTGCTCTTCGTCTTCGAGTTCGTAAACTTCGTGCGGGTTGCCTTCGTCGTCGTAAATGAGTTTCTTGCCTTTGTCCATGAGCTTGGTGAGCTTCTTCTTGGATTGAAGAAGTTTCTCTCGGCGATGGCTGTCAATAACGATGGGTTGTGATGCGCCAGCAATATGGACAACACGACCGCCCACAGGAAGCATGGCATCCTGGTCGGTGTTGAGGTCCTCGGGTTCGTCATCTGCTGGAATCCGTCGTTTAACAGCCATGAAATCATCGTCTCCATTAGTCGCCGCTCCAGCTCCACTAAACTCATCTGCCTGCGCCCCTTCGTCCTCGTTCCTAACAAGTTTCTGGTAATGCTCTGCGAGGACATCCTGGTTCTTCCGCTCGAACATACGATCATACTTAGTTCGCACAGGCTTGTCTGTCTTTGTGACTTCTTCAGCATCTGATGAATCAGAGACTTCAATAGTCTGCCTTGATGCTTGTTTCTTCTGCTTGCTGTCGTCATCTTTCAAGAACTTAATCCTTGGTGTTCCTGGGAGACCCAGACTCGCCGCGTATGCTTCGAGATTATACTCCTTCAGCTTGAAGACCTCTTTATCCTTTTGCAGATAGATAGACTTGACATGCGTCATGAAGGCTTTTTGTCCTAGATACTTTAAGGCCGGGTCTTGGAAGCACATGTTCTGCAACTGATCCTTGATTGACTGACGCTTCTTTTGTCGCACATTGATCATCTCGATGGGCACTTTCTTAGCTTCGAGACGCTTCAACATACCCTCTTCTTCACTGGGTGCTAAAAAGAGCACACCACGTCCTTCTCTGTTGTATCGCGCTGTTCGACCGACTCGGTGAATATACGTGTCGACATCATCAGGGCAGTCGACCTGTATGACGAAGTCGACAGCGGGGAAATCGAGACCTCGAGCAGCAACATCGGTTGCAAAGAGGCAAGAGTGTTTTGCCGACGAAAACTTGGCGGTTGTGTCTAATCGAGCACCTTGCTTCTGGCGACCATGGATGTGCAACAATGGGATACCAGGCTGCATGTGACGAAAAGACTCGTATACAAATCGAACAGTCTTGGCAGACGAGAAGAAGCAGAGAATTTTGGACTTCTTGCTCGCCTGAATAAAACTCCACAAGGTATCTAGCTTCTCCTCTAGAGGGCAAATTATGTAGTTTTGCGTGAGTCCCTTGGGCGTTGCACTCTTGTCCTCAGCATGAACTGATACGTATTCGGGGTCCTGGAGACTCAAACGTGCAAGGTCCGACACCTTCTTGGATTGAGTAGCGGAGAAGAGCAGTGTTTGCCGCTCCTTTGGCAGGTACTCGATGATTGCATCCACATCTCTCTGGAAACCCATATCGAGGATCCTATCTGCCTCGTCCAATACCAGCATCTTGAGGTCGTCAACGTTGAAGGCAGCTGTTTGCGACAAATGTTGCAGCATTCTTCCCGGTGTTGCGACAAGTATGTTCATCTTTGTCAGAGCCTCCCTCTCAGCTTGCAAGCTCTTGCCTCCGATGAGAAGACCTGCAGCAAACATATGGCCATGCCTTCCGATCTTGCGCAGGACATCGAATATCTGAATGGCGAGTTCTCGGGTCGGGGACAGAATCAAAGCGCCCAGGCCTGCGTCTGGCCCAACGTGCTGCAACCGGTAGAGATTCTCCAGGACAGGAATGATGAAGGAAAGCGTCTTTCCGCTTCCGGTCTTTGCGGCGCCGAGTATGTCGTGGCCCTTGAGTGCAAGCGGGATCGCCTTGGCCTGGATGTCGGTCATAACTGCAAAGTGTGCAGACTTGAGGCCTTGTTTGGTCGGGTCGGAGAGCGGCAAGTCGGTAAAGTCTTTGTAAGAGTTTTGCTTGGGGTCCTAAGTTTACAGTCAGTCTTATGCGCCCTGTCAAATTGCGATGTTTTCACAAGCCTACCAGGTCCTGAACTGCCTGCTCCAGCTTCTCCACATCCACATCGTCGCGCTTCCGTTTCTGAACATTTTCACGCTTCTTGACCTTGGTAGGCCTTGTGCGACCGGTAATCTCTGGTGCGACCATTCTGACGCTGGACGCTTTCCTCGAGCAATTTGGTGTTTGAGACTTTCGCGTCGCATCTCAAGAGAACTTTTTGGTGGAGCACCTTTGGTGGTCTGTGCGCTTCGCCGCGGGGATTGCTGTGGCTGGCCATCACAGCTGCGACACTTACCTTCACGTTTACCTTTCATCTTCCTCCAGGGAAGACCAAGCTTAGCGCCAATAATCGCGCCTACACTTGATACTCTCACTAACACTCACTCTGACGGACTGAAGGTGTCTGAAATCTCTACATTCTACGTGCAATCTACCTCACATCAACATGGCGGACATCGATGCTGAGCTCGCAGGCATCGGCAAGGAGCTTGACAAGGACGCAGAGATTGATCGCATCCGCAGCGTCTTCAGCCTCGATGCCTACGCCGTTCTAGACCTCCAACCCGGTGTCCCCGAATCCGACATCAAAAAAGTCTACCGCGCAAAGTCCCTCCTCATCCATCCGGACAAGACCAAGAACGAGCTTGCCCCCGACGCCTTCGACCGTCTCAAGAAAGCCCAGACCGTGCTGCTCGACGAGAAGCTGCGTGCGGAGCTCGACGAAAACATTGCCGATGCGCGCATGCTGCTCATGCGCGAGAAGAAGCTCACAGCCGACGACGAGGAAACACGTAGTGAAGAGTTTGCCAAGGAGTGGCGGCAGAAAACTATCTGGGTGATACGGGAGAATGAGTTAAGGAAGCAGAGGCAGATGAAGGCAGCGATGCGCGAGGAGGGCAGGGCACAGCGCAAAGAAGAAGAGGAGGCAAAGGAGCGCAAGCGCAAGAGAGAGCAAGACGAGGCATGGGAGAAGACACGGGACACAAGAATCAACAGCTGGCGCGACTTCCAGCAGGGCAAGAAACCCGACGCTTCTGCCGATGGTGGTGCAAAGAAAAAGAAAAAGAAGGTAAAGGCCCTAGGTTAAGCTTATCGGCTGCCTACCTTACCATAGACCTGGGAAATTCTTCACACTGCCTTTCCTATCTGCCGGAGAAAGCCAGAAAACACACCAATGGCCAACTATCTCCAAAAAAAAAACAGCCTGTCATGTCTTCTGCATTCTCCCTCCAAAGGCACACCATAGCCAGTCATGTCTTTCTTCTCTCTCTCCATCTCGATACCCAATATGCTTAGTTTATACCCCCCCTCCCCCACCCCCTCCTTACTTGCGTCCCTGCATACAAATACATACATAAACTAGTAGCATCAAAGTCCCCACTCACACACAAAAACACGTCAATAACATCCTACATCCGAACCTACTACTTCCGAACCTAACTTACCTTCTTACATACACCAAACGCAACGCCCAACCTAACTGTAGCTCCCCAATCCAATCACATCCTTTATCGCCAAGCGACCTAACCTAACGGACTCCCCCGCCGTCTGTCTTGGTACGTCCGCCCGCTCGCGCCCTTTTTGTAGCAGTAGCGCAACTTACCCACATCCCCTTCCCCCCCAAGTTCCGTTCGTCATGTCCCGCCGATCCCGTTTAGAGTTTTGAACACCTGTTTCAAGGTTTGAGCTAAGGGCTGCAAGCCCAGGTTTAGAGCATGCATATGTCGGACGTCAGGTCATCAAATTTTTTTTCCTCTTTGAACGGGTGAAGCGCGGAGAAAGGATAAGTGCTATTTTTTTTAATCTCGTTTCCTTTCGTCCGTTTTTTTTGGTTTATCCGCCGGCGGCGACGGTGTGTGTGTGTGGCCGGGTGAAAGCTTGTTCCGAATTCCAGATATGATTTAGCTGATCGAAGCGTTGAGCGAGATGGGGAACCATCGATACGAAAAGGGGAAGGAACAGCGGAGTAAGTGTGTGTGTGTGTGTGTGTGTGTGTGTTTAGTAATGTGTGGGTTTATCGGTGTATGTCAAAGAACTTTGTCGTTAAAATATGCAATACAAGTATTCATGTAGCTAGCTCTACGTCTGTATGACATGTCCCCGTAAACCTTAAATCCCCATCATAAACCGGAAGAGAGAGAAAATCAGGAGGGAAAATGGTAAAAAGGGTATATCCTCCTTTCGTAGCCTCCTTAGTCGCGAAACAAAAAGGGCCTAGCAGCCCGCCTCAGTCGTACGATGTCCGTGGCAAACGCGCCCCTCGTATTGTATCCACACTGCCATGTGGATAAGTCAAATGCTTGAGTAATAGTTTTGTTTTTGGTTGAAACCGGTCCCCCAAGCTTACCAGAGCTCAGGGACGGGTGAAGAAGAGAAGAGAAGTAAGAAGAGGAAAAGAATAGGAGTTCGTGGTATCTTTAAGGTAGAATGATTTGTTGCAAGCTCAACAAAGGACATGATGACAATTAAGGAAAATGAAAAGTAAAGAGAACATGGAAAGCAAAAGAGAAAAAAAAAGATGCCGAGGCAAGAAAGCCTGTGAGGAAAGACGCCTGAATCATGCGGAGTCGTACTGAGTTGCCAAAATGCAAGAAGGCAAGGAAATGAAGAACTGGATGAAAAAAAAACAGAACCTGAGGTGAAGTAGAAGAAAAAACAAACAAGAATCCCAACGAGTTGAATCATTCCCCATTTCCATCATGTGCATGCATTCCACCGTTTTTAGAAGACAGACGTAACAAGGCAATCCAAGGGAGAGAAAAATCCGACCAGCAGATAAATCAACCCATGACATCCTTGTGAACGCTTCCTAAACTCTTCTTTTCTTATTCCAGCATCTGTTGAATATCCAATCGCCTCCGCTTCACCGTCTCAGGAGACTCAAGCCTCCGCTGCTCAGCACCACTCGCCAGCGACTCCAGTGGTCTAGCACGCTCGTGTTCTGCTGCTGCTGGAGCACCCGTACTCATTGCCTCAATGTGCAGTGGTGAGCCGAGGGGTGAGGGCGCTGTGCGAATGGGCGGAAGGTGTAGGCCCTCGAGACGTGTGGGACGATTCAGCTCACGGAAGGGCTGCTGTGAAGATGACGTGGGCGGTCGAGTGGTGGATCCGTAGGGCGAGGGATAGGTGTTTGTGCTAGGTTGGGTGGGAGGCTGGTAGGTAGGCAAGTATCCAGTATCTGTGCCTGCGCCTGCGCCTGCGCTGGGCGAGTAGGCGTAAGACGGACTGCTGCTGTAGGAGCCAGGGCTTATCATAGGTAAGGATGTTCGGACAGCTGAGAGATTGTAATACGGTGAGCCTGGCCCTGAGCTGGTTGAAGATGGTCGACGGGACTGATGGGGCGTGAGGTATGACACAGGTGCGTTGTTTAGCGCAGATGTTGTCTGGGGTGCGTTGTTCGGTGTGGGAGGAGCCAGCTGCTGAGTGAGTAGGTTTGGGGCTGCGAGCCTTGGTGGTGATATTACAACCAGTGTCACAAAGTATAGTGTAGTCTTCGCAAGTCGGATTTGGACTTGAAGTGACTGATATGGCTCTGCACCTGGAGCACGGAAGCTGAGGTAGATGGACCTATTGGTGAAGCCCTGGGTGAAGTGGTCAATTTCTTGATCTGCTACAGCGTCCATGACTGATCGCATAGGATCCTGTCCCACAGGAGTGATGGGTGCCATGTATGCCGGCTCACGTTCGTCGCGCTCATCGCGTAGTTCGTTTCGCAATCGCTGGAGACTTTCGTTTTGCCTGGGCTCCAGCAAATCGCCAAGATGCTTACCCTGGACGTCTCCCAAAAATGATACTAATTCCGCAAAGGCATGGTTTGTTTTTTGTATCATCAGGTCCAAGCTCAGGTATGCAACTGGAAGCTTGTGGTATGCCGGGCTTGCTCCCGCGCTATAGGGCAGAGGTAGTGGTCCACCGGCTGTGTCTCTCGTCGTAGATACCGGTAATGGAAGGCTCGTGTTTGGGAGATCTCGCTGGTGCGCAGCGCCTCCAAACATGCGCTGGGAATCAGGGGCTCGGGGTAAAAGAGACCCTGGATATGTCGAGTGGTGAACAGGGGTTTCTGAAGGTGGAGCACCTAACAGTTGGCTGCTCGGTCTACCTTCTTCCATTCTTGCAAATTCTCTGTCGTCCCTGAGTCGCGGCCGCCCTCTCTTCTTGTGCTGCACATCCTTGCACGTCTCCTATTTCCCAGAATCAGCATTGTCAGGAACAGACTTACAGGTCTAATGACTTTGCAAGGGCAACTAACCTGTTTACCAGAAGCCACACAGCGGCCGCAAGGACGCTGAACATCACAGCTGAGATGTGCCTTCTTGCAGTTGACACAGGCTGACGCCACATGAGCTTTGGTTCTTCGGGCGGGCTTGGCTGGCCTGGCTGGTGGTGGTGCAATCATCGCAGTAGGCTGAACCATAGGCCCTTGGTGTTGCGCTCCAGGATAAGGTGGCAAAGGTGTAGTTTGGTAGCCATATCCATAGGGTTGGGGAATAGGTTGCCCATAAGGCTGATGTTGAAGCGGGCGTCCAGGTTGGTAAGAGAGAGTCTGACCCCTGGGCTGGGATTCACTAGGGTATAGTGGTCGCTGCGGAGGGAGAACGTGTGTTGCCATTGATGAACGTGGCTCGTATATCGAGGGTGGCGCAGGAGGTTGGACAAAGCTATCCTGTCGTTGAGATGATCCTACAGGTTGGGAATAAGAGAGGCGCGCGGATTCAACAGACTGTGCTGGTCGACGAGCTGGGGATTGAGGTTCTGACATGGGCGGGGATGGGTAATCCTGATGCGCAGACCTGTGAGGGCTGAATTTCGCCCGAAATTTGGACAGGCCGTCTTCTGCTTCCGTTGGCCGCCCAAATGGCGTTGAAAGGAGTGAGGTCGGACCGGGTAGAACCAGGCTCTGCATAGTTTTACCGCTATGCGCTCAAACGCCGCGTCAGCAGCGGGAGCTTAACGGTGTGTGGAGGTACAGGTAGGCCAGAAAACTGCGCAGGTTTGGATGCCGCGCTTCAGTTTTGCTACCCAAGAAAGAAGCAAAAGCACGGTAAAGTTGACCAGGAAGTCGAAGACAATCTAGATGAAAGAGAAGGTAAGTTGATGCAGAAAATGAAGGCAGGTGAAGATGATGACAAAAGGTAGGGATCAACTACGTAAGGCTAAACAAGCGGCGAATGTACAACTAGGTACGTACGTACGGCCCTCGAAGCCGAAAAGGCGGCATGCCGTAAGCCAGCCCGGCAACAAAAGGTCAAGGCAATGGAATCAGGGAAGGAGAAGCGGGCTCTTGAAATTACCTTTTATGACAGCAGTGTCGTGTAGGCCTGAATAGGCACAGAGGAGTAGTTGGGATAGATAGTCGTAGGGAAGTAAAAGATGGCGGGGCCAGTGTTGGTGTTAGGTCTACTGGAGCTAACAGGGTAATGGGACGAGGAAGAGGAGAGGGGAGGCGATGGTATTGACTCAGTGTGGAGCCAATGGGGAATTTGGGATGGCAAATCGTAAAAACATCAGAGCAGTCGTCTGCCCACTCGGCGGAAATTCCCCAGTAATAACCACAATCAGTTATGGGGAATTCTTGCTCACAGATCTTTGCCAATCCCTGTCAAGTCGTGCATGAGGGGCCTCCCAAGAGACGGGGGCCACGCTGAGTTCCGGGCAACGGGAGCAGGGGAGGATGCGTCTCGGGGACGACGACATGCTTCCCTCGTTCGGCTGATGGTTCTTCGACATTTTTGCTAGGCTGGGTGTCCCAGACGGCCGATGCACCCGCGGAAGCACCTATGCACGGCCATTAGTTGGTAGTGGGTGCATGGGCAAAGCGGGTTGGGGAGCCTTGTCAGAGGCCGCTCGATCCCCCTGCTTTCCGCACCGTCTGAGAGCCGGGGTGTGCTAACGGGATATGGCTCGCGCTTCTACACGCCATTGCACCATTGTTTTGCGGCCGCCCAGGCAAACTTTCAGTTGAAGCATGGCACAGGTCGAGGGGGGCCCTTGATGCGCGGCGTGCGCTTATGTGCGACCCAGTAATTGCCTTTGTTGGCTCGATTAGGCATATCCAGAGGCCGAAAACGTTCGGCCCAGACAAGCATCAGGAACGGTAAAGGATGCAAGTCATTTCAGCCAGACGATCACGGGGTTTCAGGAGCCATGGGGTTAGCATTGCGAGCTCAAGCTCCATGGAGGACATTTGTGGCTCTCGATGACAGGCCCGCGGCTGCGGTGCACTACTGCTATGGCGACGCTTGTCGCTGTCAGTCGCGCGTCAGGACCCCTTCAGACCAACCACCACATGGATCGCCTCGCTCGCCTCTTCGCACCGACCGACGGTCGCAGCGGAAGTCCTCGCCTCGCGGCGGCTACTCTGCATTGATTGCCGGGGAAAGCTTGCTCAGGGTCCCTAGCAGTGGGACATACGATATCAAAGTACATGTTGCGATAACAATCATAACCACTATGACTCTGAGGATGATGACGCACATACCTGGCGTCAACTCTATCAAGGCCCATACCGGTTGGAAACACGACCACTGCTGCGATCGACGTCTCCGTGCGGATATGACTGAGGCAGGGCGACGCCTTTTTGTATGGAAATTTCCGCCGTCACATCGAGCGAGATCCGACTTGCCCGCAAAAGCAATCCGTTCGTCATTAGGTTCTCAGCTCACGGCGACGTCCCTTCCTGCGGCAAGTCTGAACTCTTGTCGCATCTTGTGGGGCACGTAGCTTTGTCATGCGACACGCCATGCCCACCTAGCTGCATGGCGCCGGCGCTGTAAGCTTATGTATACGGTGCGGGTGATAGATCTGGCAGATGCAGTGTGCTCTGGGACAGCACGCGCGAGCAACGGTAAGCTGCATCCGACGACACATCTATCTGCCCCCTCGTATTTGTTGCCACAAAAGCTTCTGCACAGCTGGGAATTGGGGCGGCCATGTGTGGAATGTTGTGTGCACCTTGGCCAGTGACGGGTGCATAAGACGTCAAACAACGGACTCATTTACGCTTCAGGCGACCCTCTCATGCAACCTGCAAAATCTAACACTGAACAGTCTTCAGTCCCAACCACCCCAGAATCACGCGCTAGGGGTGGCGTCCAATGCTCTTATGAAGCGACACGTAGTGCCATGGGCAAAATGCGGTACAGGCATATCATATGTCCCATTATAGGCTTCGCGTTGCATGGGCATGGCACTGGGCACACAAAAAAACTCCGGTGGGTGAATCGATCGAAGGCTGGCGCCCGGTCGAAGATCTGCCTGCAAACTGCCCGAGCCAGGACAGACGGCATTACAGGTAGCATGGCTTGTCGTGCTGGCGTGTGCGCAGTAGTAGCAGCATCGATGATGCGGGGCCGACGCCTAGGTCGAGGGCACGACAAACATTGCAGATGAGATACCTCCTCGGCATGTGACGGCCTCGTGTTTTTTTTCTCGACGGGAATGAGAAACATAGGACGGAGCGCTTCGCTGCTGCCGATGCCACACACACATAGAGAGAGAGAAAGGCAAAAAGAGTGGCAGCAGGAGCATTAGCGGCCACCTCGCTTGTCAACCGCGGCGACGCATTCAGCAGGTAGAACGGCGACTGTGGCAGGGCAAAGATTCCGCGCTGCAGTCCACAGTGGATGGGTGGATAGACTTGTTGACCCGTGGGACTCGACCTCGACACGGAGCTGCGGTTAGCTGAGCCGAGAGCCGTGAAGATCGGTGCCGTGGCTGGAATCTATACCATGGCACTATCCCTGGATGAGCTTATCCACGAGTGACCAACATATGTACTTACACACACTTTACTTACAGCATCCATCATAAACTGTCGCCATGACAAATTCCGGATTGCCCTTGTCCGTACCCCAACACAACCTGCAGTGGTAGGGCACGGCACATGTACTCGCTTGAACAAGGGCAAGCAAGCCCCCCCCCCCCCCCAGCATGTCCGCCATGGCTTGGAGACGTCCCCTCTGCACATCTTCACCCTGCTCTTAGCGGAATGAGCCGAGATCCAAAACGCAGGGAGTATGAGTCAGGCCTGCAGGAGCGTTTCCTCCTCGCTCGTCGGGGGAGGGGGATGGCACCATCGCTCGACTAGGGTGATTTTTTACGGCCGAAAAAGCGCATGCTTGTTTTGGGGATAAAACCTGGCAAACTCCGTAGGGTGTGTGATTGGTGCTGCTCCCCCCACCTACGGAAAATATAACACCCAGCCCAAGAAACCAACGCAATGGCCCTGAAGCTAGGCCATCTATTTAGCCTTGTTCGACCATGACTGAGATCCAAAAATAATCTTAGATAGCGGAAGTGGTGTCGTTGGGAGCAGTCCCTATATCGCCTATATAGATTGCTTTCACTTCTGAGTACCATTCGCCGGAGCTACGGCATCCGCATAACGGCCTGTCCAATGTCCCGGGACTGCTCGTCCTGCGGTGGCGGGCGCAGCCGCTGTGTTTGTGCAGCGCCGATGACTGTTGAGAGCCCCGTCCACACATGTTGTTGTTGGAACTATTTGCGTTGAAATCCGTATACGATCCTCTGACGGCCTTGCCATGCCCCATCTCGTGTTCCTATGGGCTCCGTATTGTGACAGGTTGGCGTCAGCCGCATGGCGACGCCCCAAATATTGCGACAGAGTTGCGGGCGGGATCTACGAACCGGTGCTCAGGACACGTTGTGCCAAAGTAGCCTCTGCCAGGGGCCCTCGCCCGCCATGCTGTCCGTTCCCTCCTGGGGGCCCTTGCAGCCTCGCCCTCCCTTGCACCTGGGCGCGGGACCACTGTCGATTTGCGACTGGGTGCGGGCCGAGTTGGTCCAGTGCTGGTCTCGGTGCGTCGATATGTTGTGTAATGTGTATGCTATTCTCAAAGTTGATGGTCGCGTGGGTCTTGTGTAAGGATAGGAGTGTGTGTAGTTGGACACGCCCACACAGCATGTGCGGCTCATGGTTTGCCCCCAAGGCGCCCTGCAGCCAGCTCCTTACAATGCCTGTGTATGACAGGCAAACCCTGCAGACATCCGCTGCTGACCCCCTTCGAGTCGACTCGTCAGGCCCGCAGCGGAGCGAGAAATTTCCGGCAATATGCTATATCAACAACCAAGCAGCCGTTTACCGAGATATGGAATGTGACTACGCTTGCAGCTACCCGACTAGAGCGGCAGTCTAGACTGCGCCGCCGTAAGAGAAGTACGCCGTAGCCGTTGACCTGCGTGCCGGCGTCTTGTGCGGGCGTTTGGTTTTGATTGAAAAGCGTCGAGCGTATTGCTGCGAAATTGGCCGACGGATTGGGGACATGTTGAATATCAAAAAGCCGTTGAAGTACGGGGAGGCGTAGGAGGATTGTTGGTCGGCATCGCGTAGCTCCAAAACACCGAGGCCGAAGCCACGGCTCTCAGGCCACCCACACGGCGTGTAAGTGCAGTCAGCCGGCCATAGCACTTGCTTGCAACCAAAGGAGAAGACCAAAAAGCAATGGCGGCAGCAGCAGTAGCAGCGGTAGTGGCAGAGCAGCAGTAGCAGCGTCAGCAATAACAAATGTAGCGGCTTCTGGAAGAACGTCGGGTGAGCTGCCGCAGCGCGGATGCAGGAGGATTCCAAGGCTATTGAGGTCTGGCCAGAAGAGGGAATGGTGGTGTGCACCCTTGAGTTTCGTTGAGTGGAGAAGAAATATGTCGGCTCAAAGAAATCTCCTCGATGGTGGGATGACGTGCCTGCATAGCCATGTGCACCCGATGTGGATGCGGCCCCCCCCCCTCCCCTGGAAGCCCTGTCCCTGCTTCGGACCTTATTGAGGGTGGTGAGCTTGCAGGCAAGCCTTGGCCCTACATGCTTTGGTGCAGGCGCCTGTCACTGTCATTTGTCTAGCGGATGTTTTGCACTCTAGCCCTTGCTCGGTAGAGTATGGAGTAGACCTACTTACATGCATACACGCATGCATACCATACGTAGATATCGTCCGTTTGCGTCCTAATGGCCTGCAGTCACAAACTTAGCACCTCGAAACCCAAACACAAAAGTACTCAAGGGGGTCCAGGTCGCTGCAAAAGCGAGCCACGACTTGTTTTTGCAACCCTTATTTCTCGTCGACCACTGCGATGTGCGCAGGTAGAAAAAAGCCACTATTGAGTCCAATGCGCTCTGGCCGAGAAGGGCTTGGTGCTCGCCCACAGCTCTGTTCCAGTACCCGATTAAGTTTTGCCAATCCGCACCCAGGTGGCACAGCAAAGCAACGACAGCCTCTGGGAATAAGTAAAAGCAACCATGGCCTGACCTTGCCCATTACAACGGTCCTTTCTCGCACAATTAGCCCCTCTGGCCAATGGTGCAGCCACCTTCTTTGTTTTGCCTCGCCACACGCCCGGCCGACAAATCACATCCGACACTGTGCACCTCGGCCCGCGACCATGGTGGATCATCATCATGTTACACAGCAGCGTCGCTGACACGTGCCAACTCAAACTTCATCATTGTCGATTCATGCGTCCAGGCATAAGGCCCGTGTATTGATTCAACAACCTCAATGTTTCCGCTTTTTCGACGGCCGCGCATTCTTTTCTCGCCGTTTCTCCTGGATTTTGCGGTTTTTGCGCACTGCATCCACATCCCGAAGCTCATTCTTGCCCTTTCCGTCCTTGAAGGCACCAATGCGCTTCTCCTGTGCTTCAGCCACCCGCTTCTTCTGCACATGATAATCGTCGCGGTATCGGTCAGCTTGCTTCGGTGCCTTTTCCGATTTGTGCTTGTACCGAGGTGCGTTGTTGAAAGATGCCGCTGGGCGGTTGGCCGATTCCATCTCGCCCACCCTCGGCATCTTGACCTTGTTTGCTTTGCGCCAGTCATCAAAACGACCGCTGCGGAAACTCGCCGCAATTTTTTGTCCACTCTCCCCGCGGATCATCTTGGCTCCTTTAGAACCGTCGTCGTCGTTGGTGCGGTTGACATACTTCTTGGACTTTTTGTCCCACCGCATCTTGGACTTGACGGCATCTGCAAACCCTTGAATCTCGTCGTTGACCAGTGACATCTCTGCCGCTCTTGCTGCAGACACAAAGTTGGTGTTGCCAGCATCTCCACCGCTAACTCCATATGCCTTTTCTTCGGCCAAGTTCTCCTTGGGCGTATACGACATGAAGAAATCGTCGTTTCTCCAGCTGTCTTGCTTGGACTTCTTCGCGGCTGGCTGTGACACTGACACTTCGAGCTCGTCAGAGTCAGAAGCATACACACCCTCTGCAACCTCCACCTCATTCCCCGAGGACATGTCCTCGTCATTTGCTTCTCTTGAAGAAGCATGAATAGTATCCAGCTCATCTTCACCTTTTTTGTTAGCCGCCTGTTTAGCTTTCTGACGCTCAACCTGCTCTCTTCTTTTGCGCATAATCTCAGCTGTTTCGCTGTGGATCCCGCGTTTCCCAATTTCAAACACTGTTTCCGCGGGACGGAATGACTGGATCCTCGCGAGCATATCTTCTTTCTCTCTTTGAGCGGTGTGTGCATCATTGCTAAAAAGCATGTGCGTTTCAGCAAAATTAGGAGACGCTGCTAGTTCTTTGGCGCGTACCACGCTCTGTGCGCTTGCCTGGTTGCGTGTGCGCTGGTACTGTCGTTCTCCCTTTTCAGCAACGCTTAGTAAAAGCGCCAAATCTTCATCCTCGCTGAGTTGTCTGTTGACTTGCTCCACGGAGCTTTCTACCTGCCACGGAGACAAGCTCCCAACAACAAAATCATCTGCGTAATTAGGCTCGTCACTTGACCGTCCCAAAAGCAGGCGCTTGCCCAGAAAGAGCTGCAGATCTATGAGGTAGGGTAGGTCGACGTGTCTGCATAGACTGTATGCCCAACCTTTTCTTCCCGCACGTGCTGTTCGCCCGACTCGATGGACAAAAATCTTGGGTTGTGAGGGAAAGTCATAATTTATGACATGGTTGATGTGAGGCATGTCAACACCACGCGCAGCAACGTCTGTGACAATAAGGATGCGGGTCAATCCAGTTCGGAAGTCTTGGATTTGCTCTTTTCGAGCAGTTTGATCGAGATTACCGTACACTGTAGAATATTAGTATAAATCAATCTAGAACGCATCGTCTCACTCACCATACGATATGGCATATCCCAGATTGCGGAGCAGGTTGGCCAAGTACTCTACCCTGTGTTTCGTTGCAGCAAAGATGATGGTAGACTCTGCAACTGGAAGGTCTTTGACGAAGCCTTCACTGCGCTTCCGCTTCTTGGTGGGCTTCTCGCTCTCTTCTCGGGCCTTCTTTGCGGCATCAGTCTCACCTACGGGGACTTTGATGACGTTGTCCAGAAGGTACAGTAGAGCTCCATCTCGATCGCCCGACTTGATGGTAAAGTAAGCACTCTTGAGATCTGGCGAGATTTTGCTTTCCGCATCCAGACGTATCAACTTGGGCTCTTGTAAACCTGCTCGGGCAAACTCTACGAGTGACTTTGGCAGTGTGGCACTGAACAAGAGTGTCTGCCTCGAGGCAGGGAGGGCGTAAAGAATTTCCGAAAGTTGGGCAGCAAAGCCCATTTCGAACAACCGATCGGCTTCGTCGAAAACAATGTACTTGACCGAAGAGAGGTCGAGGCCCATCTCGACCTTGAGATGCAGGAAACGTCCCGGAGTGGCAATGATGATGTCGGGATTTGTAGTCATGGAGCTAAATTCTGCGGGATTGTTGGTATGCATCACAATGGCTCAGTGACTGTGTATACGTACGTTCTTCAAGACTGTCGCCACCAACAAGCAAGATGGTTCGTAAATCGGTGCCACGACCCAGCTCCTTGACTACCTTGAGTGTTTGCAATGCAAGTTCGCGAGAGGGCGACATGATAATTCCTCGCGCGCCCACTTTTGCGGAGTGCGCCTTGAGCTTTTGGATCATAGGTATGACGAAAGCGGCCGTCTTTCCAGAACCGGTCCTAGCCATTCCCACTACATCCTCGCCTTGAAGCATAAGCGGCACTGCCTTGCGCTGAATCGGGGTCGGGACCTTGAAGCCCTTTTGTGTGATAGCTTTTAGAAGCGCCGCATTTAGGCCCATGGCTTGGAAGCCTCCACCCTTCTTCACCGACTTGCCTACGTTCGAGGCTTTGCGATTTGAAGCAGCCTGCTTCGCGGCGATGAAAGCCTCATCGTCAGATCCATCGTCACTGCCAACGTCAAGATCCACGCCCAAATCTGCGTTCAGGTCCGTCTCTTGCTGAATGTCATCGCCGCCGGCTAGGGCATCGAAAATGTCGAACTCGGTTTCGGAGAGCGCCGGCGAGCTCGCGCGGGGGGCCATGTTTGGCTGCTCGAATTTAGGGTTCCGGGACGACGGAGGTGAACTTTGCTCTGCTTGATGTTAGAAAGTCGCGTGTAGAGTCGCTCTTGGGAAAATTTCGAGCACGGACCTTCCGAAATCTTGGCGGTAGGGATGCCGTTGGAACAGTGTTCACGTGCCCCGCGATGAGGCAGGCGCGTCCGACGCGTTTTGCCTCTAGTAGATTTGCTGCACACGGCGTCTTTCAACTTCAGTTAGCAGGATGAGTAAGTCCTCTATGTTACGATTTTTCTAAGAATTCAGGCTAATAGGTTCAGATTATAACAACTACGAAACCTCGTACACGTCCTATGGCGCTGGCGGTGGTGGCGGAGGCGGCTTCATACCAGGAGAGGGCGGCAGCACACAGAGTCCCGGTGGCCGGCAAAATCAGGTCCAGGACTCGATACGCCCTGTTACCATCAAGCAGATTCTAGATGCGCAAGGAGAGGCAGGGAGCAATGACACCTTCAAAATTGACGGCACAGTGATTAGCCAGGTACATAAGAGCCGCGCGGTTGATATGTATGCTTCCGCTAACTTGTAGTCAGCTCACAATTGTCGGCCAAATACGCAACATATCTAACCAGACCACAAACACCACATATCGCCTCGATGACGGGACCGGTAGCATAGAGGTCAAGCAATGGGTCAATCCCGAGACCGTAGATCACAGCAACCTCGCCAAGGCTAAGCTCGTCGAAGGCGCATATTGCAGGGCATGGGGCAAGCTAAGGAGCTTCAATGACCGCAAATCAGTCGGAGCGACAATAATCCGCCCAATCGAGGACATGAACGAAATCTCTTACCACTTGCTCGAAGCAACGGCCATCCATCTCTACTTTACGCGCGGTCCTCCTGACCAGGCTGGCGGCGCCACAGCCAATGGAGCAGGAAAACAACAGGCGATAGAGGGCGGGTATGGCGGGGCCGAACTCGCAGGTTACTCTCAAGCTGCGAAGAGGGTCTTTAAATTTTTGGGTGAAGTTGAACAGTCGAACGAGGGCGTGAATCAGTATGAAATTGCCTCCAAGCTCGGCATCGACGCCGCCGACGTAGCAAAGGCGGGTGAGGATCTGTTGGCAGGTGGTCTGATATACACAACTCTTGACGACCAGACCTGGGCAATTCTCGAGGCCGACTAAATAGGATACGAGGCTGTGATGAGTAACTAGGGGGAGTGGACAAGGCTACGACATTCCGCCAGGGGAGATTTCAGCAAAAGCATGCGATTCATGAGAGCATCTATGGCCTGTATTGAGAGTCAACCGTTACGTCTCACGCAAACATATAAAGAAATCCTACTTCTCTGCGTTTGTAGAGAGAAGCAGCACACACGTTCCAAAAATAGCACACGATACCACTGTGAATATAACCTGCGTCTTCCATCCTGATTGCACCAGTGCCCGGCGCCGACTGTATCGTGAAATGGTATTAATGTAATTAGCCAGCCCCGCAGCCATACATGCCAAGGACAAGATCCAGAAGATAATACCCAATGGTAGTGCAAACCGCCGCTCTGTAGCGCATGTTAGTGGGGATTTTTCCAGACGAAAGTAGTCGCATGCTAACCGAGCGGTGTTGGCTGTAACTTGAGATGGAAAGACAGTACAATGGCTACCGACACGATAGCCATGTACACGCTTAGTTTAAGCCACGCAAGAAATGCTGTCAGTTTCATTAACCATTCCGACTCGTTTTTTAATCTAGATATTGATGGAAAACCCACTTCTCTCGTTGGCGGCATGATCCCGCGCATCCGAGGTGACGTTATCGAACAATAGCACACCACCCCACCACGGGTGTTCTTTGAAAGCGATTCGGTCGTAATCATTACTCCTACCGCACTAATTAGAACCCAAAGTCTGGGCACGAAGTGAAATATGGGGAAGAACTACTGCTTAACCAAGATTGGTTTACTCCCAAAGATGTTGTAGAATGGTCGATATGGTTCGCGTAAGATGGACTCATCCGTAGCATCCATACGCTCCAGGCTCCGGAAATCCATGATGTCTGAACAAAATGCGATTGCACACACAGCCCAGGCTGATGAAGACGGCAAAATTAGGCTGGACGAGGAGTGAGGTTTGGACACGATAGTAATTCCGGTTGCTTATTTACCAGCACAGACCGGGCTCGGCATTAAATAGCGGTAGGTACTAAGTACGTCAGTAGGACCGACCAAACCATCTTTATTAACGTATCCACGCGTTGGTCCTTTCTTTGCACCTGAAATCCCCTTCGCATCAAACCCATCAACCTGACAATGGAAAAACAAAAGGAGCTCACCCTTTTCGGCGGATGCGAGTATGTATACACCACCTCCAAATGACGTCACCGTATATGTTACATTTGAGCAACCCTCCCATGCTGACATGAACTTTTTTTTTCTTCCCATCAAAAAAGAGGCTGGAACGCATCAGATTGGACAGCAAGCGACGACCGCGTTCGCGGCGGGGCTTCGCAATCCTACCTCAGCATCAACGGCTCTTCCGCACGTTTCCACGGCACCCTCGACGCAAAGGCGCTCGGCGGCGCGGGATTCGCCAGCCAGCGCACCACGGGCGAGACCCGAGCCTGGGACTTGTCGGCGTATGACGGCATTTTCCTGGATATCGGCGAGCTTGATGGCAAAAAGTACACGCTGACGCTCAAGGATGAGCTTTTGCCGCCTTTGGCGGATGGGCGCGAGCAGTCGTCGATTAACTTTGAGTATGATTTTGATTCCAAGAGTGGGATGGGGGTGTTTGTGCCGTGGCATGCGATGAAGGCGACGTATCGGGGGAGAGAGCAGAATGACACTAAACCGTTGGATACCGAGAGTGTGAAGCGGTTTACCATCATGATTAGGAGGTAGGCCTGTTGTGTTTTCTGTGACTTGTTCTGTGGCCTTTTTTCCTGTTCTTTTTTGCTGACGGGTGAAATAGTTTCTTCGGCTCCCAAGAAGGTGACTTTAATCTCGTCATCAACTCTATCAAGGCTGTCACGCAATCCAGCGATGTTGAAAAACATCTTGTTGGTCGAGGCATTCAGGTACGGCTTTGATCACACTCTTGATCTGTTTTCGTGGCTAACACATTGCTCTGCTGCAGGAGCAAGAGCCATGGTCCTGGAAGAACTCGAATCTTGTTGGCCTCGCGGTCATCTTGGGCTCCACCTGGGCTGTCTCTTGGGTCTATTGCTGGTGGAAGGGCTATGATATGAGTATCATGCGCTTTTCCAAATGGTGGTCCGTTGTAAGAAAATAGTAGGGCATTCCAACGGCCTGATACGTACTGATATCATACGAATTATGTATACGACCTACCTTCATGTCCTATGGAGAAAGAATAGTCTAAAACGGGTTGTCTTTTTTGACTCCAAGTTTGTCAAAAAGTCCAATACTGTGGCACAAACTCTTGCGATCTAAAAAGCATCGCTGTATACTTTCCAATCAGGATGAAACTAAGTGCTTTCCACACTCGTATCGACATCGCTGTGTTTTCTCAGCTACAGCTCTCAGGGTGCAAAAAATGGTTTTCTATCAGACTCCAAAAAAACATACGACAGCGGGAATTCGCCAGTGGTCACCCGCCTGACTACTGATCCGCCGGTAAACTATTTAACTAAAGAAGATCCGACGAGTTTCAGTGGTCGTGTGAAGGAATGTTGATTCTAAGCAATATGTGCAGCTGACACATTGTGGTGGTGAGGGAAAAGGCATGTTGAATTTCAGGATTTCATTGCTGTTCGGCAAAACTGAGTATATATAAATTAACTGTAAAAGAAGTCTCTAAAACTAGTAGCAAATGATTGATTTTTTTTTAGCAAAGAACAAAGAGGCTAATGTATAACAGGAGTTTACAGTAGGGATGCAAGTATCAGGTGTTGGACGTGGATGGTCTGTGGACTAGTCCGGCAAACTCGAGCAAAAGCAGCTATTTAGTAGTGATGCTACCGAAACTGGTTTATACTGCAAACCAACAAATTATTTTCTCGGATAGGTATGTATGAAAGATAGCATTGCTTCAACAGATATTGCAAACCAAGTGTGAGGTCTCACTGCAAAGCGAAAACAATACCTGTACTTGAACCAAGTTTGTTAATTAGAAAGCCCATATGCTCAGCTTACCATCTTCAAGCCCACGATGGAAATATGTCTCAAAGCCCCTATCTATCTGCAGAAAAGACACGATTGTGCCAAAGAGGGCAGTTAGTACCAACGAAGCCTCCTTTCCCAGAAACCGCACACTTACAAGCACAACAACATCATCCTACCTACACAAATTCATACTCCCCCTTAATCTAACCTCCCGCTTTGTAGTCTTGACATTGTTTACCAAAATCATTCCGCAAAAAAAAACGCAACACCCAACCACAGCAAAACCCACGCATGCCCTCCATCAACAAAATCTCTGTTGAGCACCTTTACCTCCCCAAAAAAGCACACTCCCCGAAAAAAAAAAAGAACATGGACAACCCTTCCCCCCTACTACCTCCCATGTACGGCACGACCCGCCAGACAAACACCCACACCCTCCCTCCCCTCAACCAAAAGAAGAAGAAGAAAAAAAGAAACCTCTTCTTCCCGCCAAGAAAACCCGTCATAATCCTCCGATGCAAACCCCCCATCCTTCTTTTCCCTGCACGCTTCCCTTCTTTTCTTTTCCCCCCCAAAAAATAAAACGAACACAGGTCTAATTTCGTATCCAAGAGAGACCCAAGGTAGGCAGTCTTTTTACAACCAGCTCACCGGTGTCGTGTAAGTAACGAGATAGATGTTGCCTAGGACTAAAAGTCCATACGCATTTTTCAGTGCTACATACATACATAGTTCACGCTATTACTATCGCCCTCGTAAACCGCGTGCCCCCACGGGACCAAGCCATGCAGATAGAGGGTGTGCTGCTTCGAATGTGGTTGGAGACAAAGTATTTGGTAGGCGAGGGTTGGGATGTGCAGATGTTGAGTGCTGGAAATCTTCGTACGTTACGTTACTTTAGGGGGCGGGGAGATGCGTCCGCACATTGGTGCGCCGCCCTGCAAGGCGTGTAAGGCACAAGAAAAGAAAACACGAGGTGGAGGAAAAAAAAAGAAAAAATCGATTCGTACGGCTACATGAAGTCTTACCGGTAAGATATGTAAGTGACGCGCGGATATGGAAAAAAAAGTTCCATCTGTTATGAATGAAAGGAACAAAGAAAAAAAAGGGAGGGGGAGGGGGGGCGTGGTTATGTGGATATCACCATCAAGTCCCACACCAACTTTTCAACCCGTATTCTTTCCTTCTTCCCCCCCCCCTCCTCCTTCTCTTTCTCTCTCTCTCCCTCTTTATTATTTCTTTTTTCCAAATTTATGCTTTTACTTGCGCCTTTTCTTTTTCTTTTTTTTTTGGCGCGTCCCCTTCCCCCCCGTCCCGTACAAGTTACGCGTGTGCACGGGGATGCATGGTGCAGGTACATGTGCAAGAGTGCAAGGTGTGGATTTGTTGTATCTGCAGGAACAAAAAAAAGAATGAGAGAGAGAGAGATGGGAAATTTTCGGAGGAAGATGGATGGACGGGAGTAAAGGTGTTTTTGTGTAACATACATACATACATAGATACAAGTGACATGTCGGGAGTAGATGGAATGGAAGACAATGTAATGTCACGTCAGGCTGGCTCAATTGAAAAGGGGGGAAGAAGAGGGTCAGAGAAGTGTTGGATGTGGTACTACACTCATCGTAATCTTACTTTGCAGTGAACAACCTGTGGAGCGTATGCAGGGGCAAGCTGCTTACCGCTCGTTGCTTGTTTGCATTCTCTTTATTTTTTGGGGTCGTCTCGGCAAAACATGCATGTGGACGGGATTTATGAAGAGTAAGCCAAACGCAGGAACAAAGAACAATAGTAGGAAAAAGTAGGTGAACAAAACAAAAACGGTTGGGGTGGGTTTGATTAAAAAAGCAAAGCAAAAAACTTCACCCGCTCACTCTCAGAGAGGCTCTCTCTATCAGAATCATCTTTAGTTATCCAATGGTGATTTCATTATTTCCAATACCGCATATGCTTTTCTGACCTTTGTCAGAACTGTATGCTAACGCTTCCACATACACACATACACATATATGATTACGAGCCGAGCCAAAAAAAAACCCCTCCCCCCTCCAAAAGCTCTATCCAGAAACTGCAACAATGATAGAGATAGGAGAAAATAGGAAAACAAGAGAAAATGTACATTGAGACACAAACACAAAAAAACAACAAACAATGGTTCCAACAGAGAGATTTCGCGCAAAATTGGCAAATGCAACAACAACAAAAAACAGAGACGACGCTTTTAACTCCCTTGCACATGTTCGAACAAAACGCCTAGAAAAATCCACTCATTCCAGGCGAAGAAAAAAAAACAATCAAAAACAAGGTGGCGTATAAGATTATGCCACAGCAGAGAGAGAGAGAGAGAGAGAGAGAGGAGCTTTAAGAAGCTCATGCCTTGAGAGAGATTCGGACAGATAGAGATGGATGTGTGATGATGGAAAATAAAACAAGGCTGAGCAAAATAGTTTGGGTATATTGAGAATGTATTTGTGAGACGCGGCGGGTGATAGATGGAGAGAGAGAGAGAGAGACCGAGAGACGTTACGCGCTCAATGCGAAATCATGCATCCTTTTTGGTTATTGTGCCCCGAAATCTCCAGGTCCTTGGTTGGCAAAGATGTAGCTTTTGGGTTGAGCTTCATTCGGCCGTCGCATAAAATTTCCTTGGGCAGGATTGGTGCCATGAGGTGGGTTGTACTGATGTACTAAAAAATCTGGCATGGCAGAGACTTGAGGCGCAAAGGGGACATTATGATGAATACCGCTCAGTGAAAGGTCTTCGTAGTTCATGTTCCCATTAGGCATGTATTGAAGACTGCCGTCGTCGGGCTGGTTTTGCGTAGAGTCGGGTAACGAAGGTCTCCTGAAATGCGAGGGCTTGGGTTGTTGAATGGTAAGATCGGTAGTGGAACGGAAACCTGCTCGTATTTGAGGCGGCTGTGCGTATGGTGCCCTGTGAAAATGTTGCTGAGTCGCTGGTGCTGATTGGGGTGGTGTGTCACGATATAGCGCGTCGTTGACG